TCATTTTCAGTAGTGACATTAAAAAACTGAACTTATTTTGAAAAGTATAATATTCTGTTAATTATTGACTGATATTTAGTTGTCTGTTACATAAAACTGATTAAGTTAATAAATGTTTCGTAGCTCAGATAACATAAAGTAAATTATCGAATCAAATGCGTGTTGGTTCTGTTTGTGAAAACTATTCTGACATTTTGTGTGGGACTCCTGCAGATGTCATTGTCAAGAGACATTTCCTGTTAAATAAAGTAATTATATAAATATATAAAAATAATAATAATCAAAAAAACTAAAACCAGATGAAAATAAATTACATGTATAGAATATATCATGTACGACTGTAATACAAAATGCTTCACAAAATATTATAAAAAATTACAAATGAGATATACTGCAAATAATAATTTTAAAATATTAGTAAAAAGAAATAAAAGAAATATGAACTGTATACTCCCAGTATATGAACAAAGCTCTCTGCCTACATGTATATAAACCGTTTAGTCCTCTTATCATCAGTAACAATGCTTCTGTGAAGTCATGGCCACAATAAATAAGATCAAAATACAATTAATGCAATAGGTCCTGAGCACTGATTTAAAGAAAAAAGAAATTGTGGTTGTTTCACTTTATTAACTAAAATGGTACTAACTGCACTTTATCATCATCACAATCTAAACTCCTCAGCTTTGACAGACCTCTGATGTATGTAAGACAAATGTTTTCTTCCAGAATCTGTAGGACCGACTTCACACAGGGTCTGTTTTTTGTCAAACATTTTAACAGACACCAGATTCCTGCACAGGTACAGCATGAAAGGAGGAAAAGAAAGGGAGAGTGAAGAGAAATAAGTGGAGGCACATCTCTCTCTCTCTCTCTCTCTCTTTCTCTCTCCCCTGCAGCCTTGCCCTCTCTCCTCAGGATCTTGTATCGTGCAATCAGGCCCCGCCGGGGCCCAGACAAGCAGGAACCTTTAGATTGGAAACAGTTGTGAGGTATTAGGGAAGGTGTGTGTACCAGGGTTAGGGTCATGTGCACGGGCCTGTGTGTGTGTGTGTGTGTGTGTGTGTGTGTCTGCGCATGTATGCGTGCACTGGTGTGTATTTGTATATGTAATGAGCTTTAATTACATGTGCAGCAGCGTGCACAAGCATATGTGAGTGTTTATGTGTGTGTGTATGTGTGTGTCAACACACCTGCAGATCAGTAAACAGGAATACACTCACAGATGGTGTTTCAGTGATCGTATCTCTCCCATCTCCTGGTTTTTGTTTTGTAAGGCTTACAGTTTCATTTTTGTAAAAAGCCAGCCTGAAGGTCCTTCAAAATAAAATGACAACACACAAGATAAGCATTTAAATGAAAGAAAGAGTGACAGGCTGAAATGTGACGAGGTGCAGAGGCCTTGTAGAGATAAATCTGTGCTGCAGGGAAATACACACTTTTTCATCAGGTAGATTACAGGTCTGGGTAAACACATTTCAAACAAGCACACAGACACACACACAAACACACTGACAGATCTTTGAGCAGACAGAAATTATGACAAGCATTCGCACACATTTTTCACTTTGCAGGAATCAGTGAAGCACAAGTGATACTAGCTACAAGTACTACTACACAGGCTGCATACAACGTATATATACTGCACATTACATTGTCCAGACGCACACACATGCAGCCGCCGGCCATGTGCACACTGCAGGTGTTCCACTCTGTGTTATTATTGAACCTCCAGTGGCCTCTGCAGCAGACGTCGAGGGCTCCAGTCAGTGATGTGGATGGAATGCCAAGGCCCCTGCACGTGCAGCGGTGTGTCCTTGAACGCAGCGCGGTAGTTATTACCTACCACTTTGCCTGCTCTGCCTGTTATCATCAGCTCTGCAGGGGCCGACACAGAAAAGTGCTAGAAATTCAAGGCCTGAAACTGACCTGAATGTCTAGGTTTAGGAGAGAGATGAGGTTAGAGGCTGAGAAACATCAAAGACAGAGTGTGAATGTGTGCAAGACTGTGTGTGTGGTGTAATTTAAAAGTGTGTAGACATGGGTTAAATGACATGTGTAGTAGTGCATCACTCACACAGAAACTCATCAAAGATCCCCACAGAATGTCCTAATATTAAAGTTGCTGTCTCTTTTCAAGTTCCTCTAAAAATCATGCTTTTCTTTATCCACATCTCCTCTCTGTTAGTTTGTATGTTGGGTTGGACAAAATATTGGAACACTTGATAATATATCAAAGTTTGTAAATACTCAGTTTTTGTTGAGACTGTGTTAAGGCTGTAATTCATGTAGGTGTGTTGGATTGCACAGCTGATATTTTGTCCACCCAACACAGTTTTTACAAAGAAAATAAGATAATTGTTTAGACCTGGGTTTACACCATCAGTATGCTTCATGAAAAGTACAAGTATACCTACTATTTTGTACTTTCAGTGCAGAAGAAGCTTTAATATTTTCCTTGAGAGTCATGCGCACACACGGACATGAATGCACAGTGGACAGTTTTGTGAATTTTGATGAGAATAATTTTAGGAAGTGTGGGTGTCTGGCTCGGGACGAGATTGAGAGGATTGTTCTGTTTGAGTTGGAAAAAACAATCCTCTCCCTTCTGTTTATACTATAATCAAAATGCCTGTCACTGCTCTTTCCTCTGCCGGAACCCTTGGCTCTTATAGTGTGTGTGTTTTACAGTTTGGACCGACCTGCTGTTGGATGCTCTTGTGTGCATATTAAATCTCTGGCTTTCACTCTGGACTGATCTGGGACCAGATGTAAAATCCTCCGCGGCTCATCTGCGTTTTAAAAGCCTCATCCAGAAGTTGTGGCTTCTGATAGTTATCTTTATTTTTAGAGAGCCAAACCGTGAGCCGAGCGCAGGTGGCAGGGTTGTGTGTGCGGGTGTATATTAGTGTGACTACTGCAATGCATATGTGCTTGAGGATGAATCTGTATGTGTTGGCCTTGCTCAGACGCAGGGATAGAGAGCCATGGAGGAATGACTTCTGGTTTGACACGTAGGCAACAAAACACCACATGACTTGGGTTCAAAATGCATCAGGATCTGTCAAACATTTACGTGTGCCTACAATTCAGAGGAACAGAAAGAGAGATAATTCAAAATAAAAGTTTCAATCATTTTAAGTGTAAGATGAACAGAAAGAGTTTCCTGTAAATCCAGTGCAGTAGTGGCGGACTCCGCTACTACCAATAAAAACTACAATATAGGGAGGTAATTATTGAATCTAAATACATTGAATGGCTAATGCAGAAAAAATGCAGACCACAAATATAATCAAAATGGGGTTTTGATTTCATGAAAGTCTTAGTTATTGTAACTTATAAAAATATTTTATAACCAGAAACAGATAAATGTGTTTCAAAAATAACTTTTGTGTAAAAAACAAAAAAGCAGATGCAAGCATTGAATAGAGGTTACCCTGCACTTAAAGCTGTCAATTTCCACATTCACTCATGTGATGGGATGACACCCACAAACACATGTCTAACTCTTTCATGCTGAACTTCGTCTCTCTGTGTGTCTTTCTTGAAGCACAGAAAGGCACACTGTAATTAGGGAGAACCGAGAAGGCTCCAGATGAAATGTTTGCTTGTTAAAACAAGAGAGGAGAAGTTAAGGAGCTGTAGGGACTTTTCCACTTTCCGCTAAACAGAAGTATTTGTTTGTTTGCAGACACACTTTATAACCTCAACAACACATCTCAAAACGTTACGTTTGCACAAATATGCCATCGCTTCAGAATGATACACCAGTTCGAAATGTCTTCTTATCTAGAATGTTAACTCATCTCTGTTTCTCATCTCTGCAGAAAACTGACAAATGGAATCTCTACATTCAAAGAAGAAATTTGTTCCTGCCTCACCAGACAATCCCCCATTTTTTGATCTATAAAAACACCCTTTTTTTCCTCTTTCTCTGGACACGTGCTCGACTCATGACACCGAGATGTATTCTTGCAGCTTGACTCTAACAGTTTTCACTTTGTGTTTCTGAAACACCGGTGAGGAGACATGACAGTCAAGCGCTGAACATTTTGAATGATCAAAACAAGAACATAACAAACAGCTGGCCTGCGTTGACAATGAAACAAAATGGCTGCTGGTTCGAGTGCCTTGGGTAACACCGTGATAACCACCATCCACGTGACTCTTCACATCGGATGACTCACTGCCAGACAGACATTAAGATGACTAATGATAATGGCACAGTGATGGTTAGAGGGCGGTCACAGCCAATGAATGTTTACAGCTAAAATGCTAATAAGCTAATCGCTCCGGTTCTCAAAGCACAGTCTTGTGGGAAAAAGAGGAGCATGAGGAATCGCAGATCTCCTACTTTGTTGTGCTGTAGTAACTGGATAGCTTTTTGTGTATTTTGGGGGTTTTAAAGTGTATGTTTGTGAAGTTGGTGTATGCACACTGTATTACTTTAACTCTGCTCATGCATTACACTTGGCTATAATGAAAAATGTCCATGGGAAAATGTCTTAAACCACTGATCACAGTTCAGCCACTATTACTCTTCTGCTTCTTTTCACTTCAGTTAATAGTGAGCGTTGCAGAAAGTTGTATTTTAAAATGCACGAAAATCTGATTAATGTACGTCTTTTTCCTGCAGCTTTAAGAAATATCTTTGCAAACTTGCTGTGAGTATTTTTTGTACTAAACAATGCCAAAATAAAAGCAGAAAGTTTGATGTAAAAGTGATGATGAAGTGATTCCAGCCATAGTATAGAGGATGCATTTGAAACCATAAGTAGTCCACTGTTTGATCATGTTTCTTTTGTACTGTTTTTTTTGCTTTTGATAATCTTTATTGTGTCAGCTCCTGTGGACAATAAAACGTTTCTCAATACTGTATTTGAGTGTAATCTTTTGATAATCTAAGGAAAAATGCATTACGTGTTTAGCATTTAGTAGTAATTCAGATGTGAGGAGGCTGTAGTGAATTGCTCAAATAAAATAATACAAGAATAAATGAATTATCTTTTTCAAATGTATATAATTTACCTTTAATAAGGATTTTTTTGGAAACAAAAATAGTAGAAAAGACAAAGGCAGACAAAAAAAACCCCAGTCATTATTTACACTGTACAGAAACAAAATGAGAGTCAGTAATGAGAAAACTGGACTTTGTCTGCAGTTTTAATTATCCAGTTTGTTAAGGCTACCCTCACACAGGTTGGTCAACATGATACTTCAAGGCACGCGGGCTGATAATTTGGTCTCTAAGTACGCACAGGGTTAATTTTTGATATCAAATACAAAAATCAGTCATTTGCATTAATTAAGACAATATCTAAGACATTACATAGGTCAGGTCACTCTCATGAATGTTCTCGTAAAATTACTTAAAGCTACACTCCTCTGTCGGACTTTCCTACATGATATGCAGCTGGAACTGCTCTGCGCTCTCTCACCGTCACTTGTTTTCACATTTTCATTGCATGTACAAATATTTGACAGGTTTTGAGTTGCATACACAATGCAACATAAAGAAAGAAAGAAAGAAAGCAAACATACTGTCTTAAAAAAATCCATAGCACCGTCAATATTGTGTTAGACATGCAAAGAGCACTTCAAAGACACAGAATCTGAATGTAGATTTTTTTTTTTTTGAGAAATGAATTTGTTTATATATCCGTCCTGTACTTTTAGTTCTGTTCAACTGTTTGGATAGAAAAAAGAAACATTCACAAACTCAAAGTCTTTGAAGTTCTTTAAGCCATGCCAGTCCAGGAACGGCACATTGTTCTCATAAACTTTGGTTGGGCTTAACCTGTGTCCAATTGTACTGTGTGGATATTCAACTATCTCAGTATTATCGCTTCATCTTTACTGCTAAAATGTCGCTGTTTGGTCCGGGGGAGCAAAACGTCCCCGACAAACGCCGCTACGTCAGTGACAAACAAAGTTCAGTTCGTACTTGTTATGAAAGAAATGAAAGAATAAAATACATTTATAAAATACAGCAGGAATGCTCATCCACTGATAGAAACACTGGTCCACTTAACAAATACTATCAACGTTCAGAATTTAAGACCCAAGTCACTCCTACCTTCCTGAGGGCACTGTAAGTGCACTTTAAGTGTGTGATTGTCAAAAAGTCTTTGGAAGAGATTTCCTGACAGAGAAGGTGGGCTCTGCATTGTCACATATACAATCATTTCTGAGGATTCAAGTAGCACTGAGGCACCATGGGTGATTTCTGTCTTTGCTGACGTATACAGAATCTCTTTAAGGAGCGTTTCAGAGTGATTACTTTCTCCCCTGATATTGATACGACAATGACTAGATGTATTAGCTCTTCATTGTAACAAATGTCACGATGCAAACTACAGTATGTCTACACATTTAAGATGCGTTTCATCAAAGACTGCTGTGTCGCCTTTTATCTGCTGGGGAGCGATAACAATAACTGCAGTGATCTACAGTTTTGCTGCATGTGCTCGACCGACCGGCCAAGAAAGAAAGAAAAAAAGATTTAAGAAAATATGTGGACATACAAAACGATATAAAACATATGTATCTCAGTCTTCACTGTAGCTTCACTCTTACTTGATCTCGTTCTGATGTTCAGAAAAATGTGTGCCACAGGTCAAACGAATGAATATTCAAATAGGCTAAAAATAAGAGCAAACAAGATGTTTGATTGTCAACATGGCCGATGTGGCTGCGTCTCTTCCATCTTGTCCGGTTCACATTACAGAACAGTACAGTGCAAAATGATCAGAAACTTTTCCTTCATTGGATCTTTGTCACGTGCAGACAAATGACGTCATCACAGCGGGATGCGCTTTAAGTGCAGAGGATATGTCTGCTCTCCTTCTCCTTCACCGGCACGTCCTGCGGGGACGACTCCTTCCGCTCTGAGTGATTGGCTCCAGTAAGCCGAGGCAACCTCCGACCCTGCCTTCAAGGTTACGAGAGTCTGAGCGGCCTCTCGCGGGCCTTGTGGGAGTCTTCCACAAGGTGAATGTTTAAAGTTGCAGGGCTGCGCTTTGTCAAGTGTGTGTTCATGCTACATCATGTTCTCAGCTCCCACTGCTACAAGAGAGTGACGATCCTTCATTAATCTGGTTGTCTTTCTTTTCAGCCTTTTCTCAGCTCAGAGGCCAGTTCTTCTTCAGGAAAAGCCAGTTGAGCCGTCATGAGAATATGAATGTTGTTCCTCAGTGTGTGTTTGAATCAGAGTGGTCAGACTGCAGCCAGTAGTAATGCAGGTGGAGGAGTTTTTGTGAGGTGATGAATACAGTGGTCGAACTCAGGAGGACACCTGCTTCCTGTGATGTCCAAATGCATAGCTCTATGTGTGTGTGTGTGTGTGTCTGTTTCCATTGAGACTTGGTTGAAGGCAACGGACAGGAGACTCCTTCTTCAGCGGGAATCACCTTTGTCTGTTAGTTTTTCCGGCTGTTTCCTTAATAAACAAGAGAAGGATGTTACGATACACGAAGTGCGGTATTGAAATGTTGCCAAAGCATAAGATATCAAACACGATGTCGTCCCTACTTGTCAGAGGTGATAGCTCCCATCGACAGCGAGGCGATGGCGCTGATGGCCTCGCTGTCCGAGTCTCGTCTCAGCCGTCGTCTCTGCGCCAGCAGGTAGGAAAGATCCACCGTGGCGGCAGAATCCTTCACACTCTGCCAGTACTCACCTGCAGGAAGCAAGAAGGTAAAAAAAGAGGGAGAGGAGGAAGGACGGAGAAAGAGAGAAAGATTAATGGCCTCAGTTGTCGGTATTTCAGTGTTGTTTTCATCCTGAATTGTTCCTTGAGGGAAGTGCCTGTACTGCATTATTAAAAAGCAGTCCTTTGGTGTTTGATCCGCCAGTTGTAGCCGTTTGATCCAAATATAAGCACTGACTGTGATATAAACAGCCCGTGGTCTAAATATCCATGCTGATCATTTCAGAAATGTAAACTCAAATTCAATCCGTTCTCTCAGGGTCTCCAGGCCCGAGTTCTGTGACACACAGTGGAAGTAAAATCAATCAGTGTTTGCAAATGGGTTCATCTGTGAGCGTGTGTGTGTTCTGGCTGTGCATGCAACTCACATATATTTCACCCCAGGCCTAAATTATGGGCTTAACATTCTTGTGGCTTTGCAAATATTTTTAATTAATCTAATTTGGTTGGGATAACATTTGTGCGCAATCAAGAGGGGATGTTGCGAAGGTCGTGTGCCAGAGAAGTGTTTGAAGATAATTGGAGCCAGGGCGGCCGTGTGTGCGTGTGAGTGTGTGTCTGTCTGTGTGTGGGACGGCTGGAGGGAGGGATGGGAGACAGGGGTGTAAAGGAGGAGAGGTGGCCAGAGAGCAGGAGGGATGAGGAGACAGAGGGAGGTGCTAAGTGGAGCAATAAAAAGACCAAAGCTATAGAGAATGGAAATGCAAAAAGGACTCGACAGCTTTCAAGTGAAAATAGAATTATTTTCTGTTAATTGTAACTGATGGAATCATCAAACTAGAAACGTGGATAAAAAATTAAAAAAAAAGATTTTCCTAACTTGATAAATATTCAAAAATTATTTTTTAAATCAAAATGCAAATTTTTTTATGTAAAATATAACGTCACGGTAGTAGGAAAAGCAAACATCTGTTCAGTTCAGATTTTAAAGTTTTTCAAGTTTCTTTGGACGCCCTGATATGTTTACTGGAAACCCCTGTAACTGTAACATGTAACTGTTCTGACTTTTTGCCATCCCACCTCCTGATGTTTTTCTTGAGGTGCCTTTATTTTACGCTAAAGATGTTATGGGGAGTTTTCCTCGTCTGAATTGAGGGTCTAAACATGAGGATGCTGAAGCCCTGTGTGATTTGGGGCTACATTAATAAAAATCGACGTGACAATCCTCCTATGTATAAGCGGTGAACATGGTGGTGTAACAATAAGCTGGACCACAGTAACAGGTGTACTTCTCAAGGATCAAGGTAATTTTTTTACCATTATACAACACAAGGTTGTACAATGCTAAACACACAGAACATAACAAATCATTAAAATTATATTAGAATAGAGTAACATATAAAAGTAAAACAATATTGTCCTTTACAGTAATTTATATCCATATATAAAATACACGTATACACATTTTTTGGATTTGCGTCTGGGAGAACATAAACAGCAGTAATGAGATAATGATGATAATATGGTTTTCATCTTCACATAAAAAGATATAAAGATATAAAATGTCTCATCTTCAAATAAAGCATGTACTTAAGCCAACACCAAAGAGCAATAACAGCGTGGCCAAAACAAATGATTTCTCTTTGAAGCTGTTGAAAATATATTTTTCTCATATTGTGACATTTGAAAGGTGTTAGAGGAAGTAAAGGCAACTGAGACAGATAAAGGAGGTGGAGGAAAGTAAAGGAGAAACTGTTCAGTTGCAGGTTAGATAAAGAAAGATGGCAACAAATTTAGAGGAATAATGGAAACAGCAAGTGAAGGCAGAGAAAACCTTTTGACTTGTTTCTAAGTGCTTCCAACAGTAAAGCACTAGCACCAGTGCAGCCCTACAGTTTTTGCCTGTACTGCTGCCCAGCAACCCGTTCAGAACATATCTGACGAGCCTTCTAGTCAGGTTGCAAGTCTGGAATTAATTTAGAGGTAATTGCTGGTAACGGTGGATTCCCATTCTGAGCTTTGCAGGTGAGCGGAGGGTTTGCATAACTGGAAACTGGAAAGGACTAAAAAACATCTTCCCATGGGCATATAGGATGAAAACTGGAGTGCTGTCTTTCATAGACTATTCTCACACTGATCAGCACATTGTGTTGCAGACTCATGTATATATATATTTTGTGCTGCAAACCCTCTCACTGACGTGCTGCTGAGGGCTCTGGATGCTACAGGTTGTGTTGTGTTGAGATGTCAGTTCTCACCCTGAACCTGGATGACTCTCTGCAGCGACTGGACAGCATTTTCACAAGGCTTCTGGTCCAACACGGACTGCGACAGAGGCTCCACCTGGGACACAACCCAAAGTGAGTGGTTAGAGGGTGGAACATACTGTGTATCTCCACAGATACACACACATGTAAGGTACACACACACACACACACACACATCTCACCTCCATGCCCAGCAAGGCGCTGACGCAGGCTTCAGAGGCATCACAGATGGCTTTGAGGTCATGTCCCCCTTCCAGAGCCAGTACCACCCGACCCCCGGCCAGTGACATCAGCTGACGGGTCAGGAAGCCAAAACCTGGTAGAGAGCAACACACAAACACACACATACACAGGTTAAGCCAGAAAATGACTTCCTCACTAAATATTGATTAACGAGATTAAACAATTAACGTTTAAGTTTTAGTGAATGTTAGTCATTTTCCACACCAGCCTCTAACTCACAAAGCTGTTGTGAACGTTGACATGTCGGTGTCACCATAATTAGTTCAGAGTGGTGCTTCCTGCTTTGTAGATTTTTATCCACCTGAAAACGGTCTGTGAGAAATAACCACCCTTTATAATTAAACCTTTATAATTCTGCAGTTTGTCCCAAATATTAGTTGGAGCTACCTATTAAGCTTGGTAACTGCTATTGCACTGCATTCAAAATAAGATGCAGAACAACCAGATATTGATTCTAAGGTAAAAATAGATATGTATAAATATCAAAAAGATAGATATATATGTATAAATAAGTTTGATGGATGTCTGCGAGTATGTGAATGTGTGCCACATGTGAAAGAGTGGCTGACTGAGCCTTACACTTGGCCGTGACCTTGTAGCCTCCCAGTGGTGACGAGTGTCCTTCCACAGCATCGAAGCCAGCTGACACCAGCACCACATCTGGGGAAAACTCGTGGGCAATGGGCATCACCACGGCTCTGAGGAGGGAGAGAGGAAACAGCGCGCTGTAAACCAAGTACTGTATCGTATGTTACCTTCATTCAAGCCCTGTGGCCTAGCTGAAATTACAAATCAAGTTTTCAACAGGTGTTTATGATTTGTGGAAAAAAAAAAAAATAAATCAGAACTTGGATCAGTGAATACAATATAATAATGCAAGGGAGGAAGTCATTGTGGGATTGATTTAACGTAAGAACAGATTTAAAAAGATTACTTATTGTATTCAATAGAATCATAAGTTGCCTGTAAAGTAAAAAACAAAAACAAACAGAATCACTGCGTAGTGGAGGTGATTGATTTGCGACCACTGGTCCAACGTAAGACTTTTCTGGATTGTTAACTGCAGCCATTTACTTCATTGTAAACTCCATCCATTTGAAAATGATGAAAGATAAATTATCAAAGGCCTGAATGTTCCAAGTGCTTGATCTCTGTTCTCGATCCGCTGCTGGTACGTGGCCAACACTAGAAGGTGGGGTAGCGCCCAGGTGTGAGTGTGTGCAACTGTTTAAATGTGAAGCAGAGCACTGCGGAAAAAAGAGCAAGCTCTTTCCTTGATATATGAAGTTCAAAAACAAGCAAAGGTTTTAAAGAAATCCCACAACTTTAGGCAAGTGGCTGAAAGGTTTCTGTTTTTGCAAGTGACACACGTAGATAAAAATGAGACCCGTGACATATCTGGACCGAGAAGCCCACATAGTGTACACTCTACTCAGGGGAGACCACTTTCCTCGCTTCTATGCTCTCCTCCTCACTTCCTCTCCTCTCCTGCTGCCAGTTATTTAGCAAGAGCGCACAGCCCATGCCGCGTTTGATTCTCTCGCTCTCTCTCACTCTCTCTCGCAGCGGCAGTTCAAAGGCGTTTGTGTGCGTCTGGTTCCTATTAGGCGCTCGTCCCTCTTCTCACGTCACTGACAGCCAGCCATCTGGGATCCATTGGGCCTAATTACGCCGCCTTTGGATTCCCTAACAATGCACCCCCCACTTATTCTCCTCTCTTCTGCTCTCCTCTCCTCCAGTTTGTCATTCGTCAGTAGCCACCTAGCAATGCACATGAAAATATGTGCATGCACACATACATGCTAAGCAACAGGCTAAAATAAAGACATACTCATGCTCTTCCTCTGAAACTAGATTTTATGTATGTGCAGTGCTACCGGTGATTAGACTGACCTTCATTTCTGACCACCTTAGTAATCCTCCACACACACACTACGTCATGACACTTAATCTCAACGCAGCTGAGCTTTCTCTTGATTGTACTAGAGTCCCACCACCACTCTCGACCACAATATTTCCCCTGTCACTAACATACACCCAAAAACAGACACACATCATCAACAACCACACTCTGGCTAGTTTTCTGTTCCATGCCGAAGAGAAACACACAGTCTGGAACACCCCGCCGTCTAAATCATGTTTTCAAATTGAATTACAGAACTGGCACCGGACTAGATACTTAATTGCATAAACGTGAACCAATGATGCATTAAATTTTGTCTGTAGTGTGTTGTGCATTTATTAGCACCACGTAATGCACAGAATGACGGCGAAGTCCACTGACAAATTATTCGAACATTTGTTTGTGTATGTTTTTACAGAAATCCCTCCTGTGCTGTTTTATGCACTTTGCTTCTGAAAACTCTTGACTATCTCGCTGCAGTTTTGAAAATCCAAATAACATTTATGCTATCACTGTGGACATTTTTTGCCTTAATTAGATAGTTGACAGTGGCAGTAAACATGGGGTTGTTCCCCATGATGACATGTGACAAAAGTCTTCGGCCGGATATGCACCCCGGACATCAGAGCTACATGGTATGTGCCTCAAACCACTGGACCACCAGGAGACTCCTACAAAGAGCTTTGATACAGGACAAAGTTGCTAGGGGTAACACACAATACAGTACAGTACTACAGTGTGGTTAACTGAGGAAGTTTTGCACATGAAAACACTTGCCATTTCCCAAACTGGAGGAAAAATACCAAAACCAGACGCATTCTCAGGAAAAGACTAGTTGTTTCTTAATTAGCATCCAGTGCTCCAGTAAACACTGGACTTAGTGTTTCCGAGCCTGCCTATTGGCTCTATGGATTTTGCCAGTATGGGTTAGCTCATTAGCATCTTTCCTTTGACGAGGGGCCCACCCACTGTGTCTGCTGCATGCAGAATTGGGTAGAGCTCACATACTGTTTAATCATCTGGCGGCTAGCCAGTGTTGCTGACGGAAACACTCTTTCAGTTCATAGTAGTGCGGAGCAAGAACTTTATTCATTCAGGAAAAAAATAGCTTGAATGAAATGAAAAATGTGGTGAGAGCAAAGGTGTTTCACTAACACATGAGTGTTTGGTTTGTTTTTATAGCGTTGCCATATCAATGTTTCGTCCATTTGACATAAATTGTTGACATTATTAGATTACTGCCAACCATTTTTTTCTCAGAGGAAATCAGGAATCAGATATAAACCTGCTTGAGATAATACAAGATCCGACATTACACTATAATTTATTGTGAAGGTGGGCGTGGTTGGCCTTCAGGTGCAGGTGGGAGAGGTGGGAACGTGGCTGAGGTGAGCAGTGCCAGGGAGAGAACTATCTCAGCTGCTGCTTGTTGTTTAGTTGTGCTCTCCGTTTAATGCAGTAACGTGCTGGACCTCAGATGTCTACTGGTCTGCCTGTTTTACACACAGGCAGCCGAAGTGTCTGGAAGTGACTGCACTTGAAACATTGTCGGACTGTAACAAGGACTGTATGGGAAGAGACCAGCATGAGCGAGCGAGCTGTGAAGCCAGAAGCTCGGCCTGTACAGATGAATTAATGTTGGAGAATGTGTGAGTGCACAGAGGACCAAATAAAATGTTTGAGACATAACATACTCCTGTGTCAGTGTCTGTGCTTTGGCAGTAGCAATAGACACCTGCTTACACTGAAGAACTTTGATAATACAGTAAAAAGTATATCTTACAGGTGTTGCAGTGAAGATGGGAAGTGGGTTTCAACCAGAAAAATAATGACGTTTGTGTTCCTGACACACACACTTGTGATTCACATTGGTGAGAATTTTCCTCATGAAAGCAAAGTGTTTTCTGCCTTTTCTTGACCTGGCCATGTTCTGCAGTCATTGTGTATCTGGTGGTTTTATTAGCTATACTAGCTTACTAACTGTGTAACTAAGTGCTTCACTGACGGCATACAATCACAACCTTGACAATGACGGAACTCATTCGATTGAAAGCTGACTAGCAAATTATTGTTTTGTGTGGGAGTGAAGAGGGGCATCTATCTATTTGACTGGACTGAAATGCATTTGTGTTGTCAGCAACACGTAGTGACCTACTGGTAGCCTGCAAACTGTTCTTTAATATGTAAACAACTAATCGTTGCATTTTAAAAAGTTGGCTGCTGACCCTTCTGTCACAGAGCTTTCAACCCCAACTTGAACGCATCAACCCGGACACATGTCACTGTCATGAAACTAATTGATAAGGTATAAGATACCAATGTAATATTCTCAGTGGTGGAAAACTTATGGTGGCCTCTGAGGTACTGAAACATACTCACCAATATTAAAACCATGTTATGCTTTTGTGAATGGTCGACAGTGATGTATGCAAATGTACCTAATTTGTAGCAAATTGGCTTGAAAATGCCACAACACCAGAACAGACCCTTAATTTTAGATTTTAAATTGTCAAGCACTACAGTATGGAATGAAAGATAATGTGGCTGATAGAGACAGGTTGAGCTCAGTCTTTACCTGAATGCAGCCAGGTACTCGGCGTCACCCATGGGGGGGTTCAAACCCCCTGTCCATGCTACATTCACAGTGAATCCCTCGCCTGCACCTGCTCCCACCTGGATGGAGGGAGAGAGAGAGAGGGGAGAGAGAGAGTGAGACTCTGGGAATGTCAAGAAAGTTAATGAGTCCCAGTGAAAGTTGAGAAACTGCGTGACGATGACAGATTTGTGTCAAATGTTCAAAAAATCAGCATGCCTGTTGCAAAACCTTGCATTGCAGCAATCGAGGAAAAGTGACTGAATGTCTTTAAGGCAACACCAGGGAGTGATTATGATTCCTAAATGAAAGACGGATGGCTATTAATTCAACACCCCTGTCCCTCCATTTTGATTTTGATACAATTTGTCAAATGGCCTTATAAATCACTCTGAGCCACAACAGAGCTACACCCGTTTATGATTCCCAAGCTTTAGGCTACAGCTATACTGGGAAATATTTCACATTTGGCAACTGTTGCCTGACATATAAAAAACAACGCATTAGAATCACATTCGGTATTTTGTGAAATGTTCTATTTATATATTGAAAATATATTGTTTGTATATAATTGGAATGACTCTCTGCTGTGTGTTTTGTATATGGAAGTTTAATAGGTTTGGTATGTATGACACATCTAATAAAACATACATGGTATACTACTGTAAATGATTTTAGTGAATTCTTTTTAGCTGTATTGAGATTGGTGCATCCTCCCAAATGCCAGGCAGAGTCAATGGAGGTTCTCTTAGTTTGACCTCACATATTTGGGCCAGAGAGTGAACTGAGGCCCGGGTCTTGGAAAGAAGTTTTAAGGATTCCTCTCTCTTTGTAGTCCTGCTAGCAGCCATTTAGCTGTTCTCTAAGCCCTTCACCATCAGTCAATGTGTCAGTTTGAGGGGAGACTGAAGAGGTGGATTGACATACTCTTGGCAACAAAGCGTGGTAATTTCCTTTGTGTGTGCGTGCATGCGTATGTGCGTATGGGTGTGAGAGGATGTTTGAAAGAATGCTGACGAGCATCGCAAAGCGTCTGTCTCCATTCTTCTCTCAGTGGACGGGATGTTCACAGGGCAAACGAAAAACACATGAGGTCTCCTGTCCTCTGCCAACTGGTAATGTACCCGCATGCACACGCACACGCACGTGCACATGGACACACACACACACACGGACACACACACACACACACACACACAATTCCTGCTATTGCTCAAAGTCTCTTGCGCTCCTCTCTGTCCTCTTTCTCTCTTTCATGTTTCAAGAGTTGCTGGACTGGATTAGGCCTTCACTGGTTTCTGTGTGGTGTTCTGCACTCTCTGTTATGGCTATGACATCACACCCCTACCCCATGGTGTGTTATATACCTACACGGGGGACAGCGAGACTCCAGAGGTTTACCACACTGCTCAACAGAGGTTGAGGGGCCACTTAAGGCAAAGCCACATCCAAGCCAGCAGAGCGTTTTATGTACCGTCCCTCATCAGGGGATTTTATGGGAAAACATTGACTATTTTATCCTCATTATTGTGGGGGAGGATGGGAGAATAAGAGGAGGGGATGTGGGGGATTGAATGGGTGGTGGATGCCACCGTGGGTTGGGGTCAATTCATCTGACTGGGGATAGTCATCACACTTGGTTTCTGGTAAGACCGCAGGCAGAATTCATAGGCATCACAATTTCCTGTATTCAAACATAAGCATGCAATTGGACTGTACACATCCTGTTGTGAAGCTCTGATCCAAAGCCCGGACGTAAACTAGAACTAGGGAAATAAACAGTAGATACACAAAATCAAAGTGTGATAGGCTTACGGTGAGTTCACTGGATAAATGCATTTGCAGCATTTTCAGCTAATATGATATTCTAAATTGTAAGTTATTTATGTTAAGCCTGAAAAACACTAAAACTATAAGAAATTTGAAATGACGCTGAAAATTCTTTTGCGGATTAAACTCGCAGACGAGCGCTTTGTGTTGGGATTCATATTGTAACGAGCTCAAGATCACATTGCTGGGATTCCAGTGGTGTAAGTAAAAATAATAAGTTTGATCTAATTGTGACAGCTCCGACTGGTCTGAGGCCCAATCATTGGCAAGATATTTTAATCCTAAACGCCTGTACGCTGCAAGATAACATATCCATATCGTTCCATTTTTTTTCTCTCCCCACGCAGTTCAGACTCTGCGATCATGAAAATCAATCATGACCAAATTGAGGTTATAATTGGGGCTTTAAATCTTGTAGATTATTCCTGGATTTATTGTTACAATAATTCTCCCTGTTTTGACAAGTATATGCTAAACACAAGGCTCTTAAGCTCCCTAATGTCCCACTGGAATCACGTAATTACCAAATATTTCTATGCCAACATATCTATCTTCACAAGAGACATGGGTGGTATTTCTATGAACTCTGTATCCTTAGAGAGTAAAATAACAAATATTTGTATTGTATATCCAGAATCTACTCAGATCATCTACTCTACGAAGAGAACCAGTGTTATAAGCGTGCTATTTTCTCATGTGTTGTTCTCAAGCTATCGTGTTCACAAGAATCAAGGTACATGCAGAGATACACAAAGACCCAGAGATCACCATGACAACACAAACAAAAGCAGAAAAACACTGCACGGCGGTGGAAGACTACCCACCTCACTGGGGTGTCCACTACCAGGAAAGAAGTTGCCGTCGTCATAGCGGTGTAGGGAGATGTACAGCACATTTGGGTCATTATAGAAAGCTTCCTGGGTGCCGTTGCCATGGTGAACATCCTGGACAATGATTGGATAACAGGTTAGGAAGTTGCCAAGGACCCTGCAGTAGGTATTTCACACGTGAATAAAACCTTGACGGATTCACATATTTGTTCACTGACTGAAAACTCACAAAAAACGTTATAAGAACTTCATTGTCCTTCTTCTAAGTATAAATAAAAACATAAAATGCAGAGAGCAAGGCCTGTAAAACCTTCAACAGCAAATCATAGAGGTTTTTTGATGAAGCAGGTAGTAATTATTGTTTGATGCAGCAATATGTCAGCTCGGCGTGCGTAAAGACATGATGCAGGCTCATATACACACACATGGTGAACAGAGACAACCACCTGGCTGTGGATCAGTCTCTGCATGTGTGCGGGTGCGTGTTCATATGACAGTGTGTATGCCTCAGTGTCAATTCTAAGCGTACGTGACAGTTGAGATCACACATGGAGACCAGAGATAACGGTGCCTAAATGAACTAAATGACAAATAGGAGTGCTACTGTAGAGGGCCGCTCTGCTTCTGGGGCCTTGCTTGTGGCCGCGATACATTTGTGTGCCTGTGCATGTGTGTTTTTGTCTGTTTATTCCGGTCCATGTGGGGACCAGGTCACGCAGCCCTCACCCAGTCCACGATGAGGATCTTGCTGACGTTGAGTTTGTGTTGGAGCTGTTTGGCAGCAATAGCCACAGAGTTGAAGAAACAGAAGCCCCTGTGGACAAACAGACAGGAAAAGAGGCAGCCACATGTGTTTATCAGGACATCTTCAGCAAATTAATATCGTAGAATCACCATATGGACCTTAGGAACCTCTAAGATGTTTCTCCAGTTCTGTTGTGGCTATTCAGTCCAGGTTGTGGCAATCACAGCCCTGACTTTAATGTGCAAGTCATGGAGAGAAAGTCCTGCCAGGCAAACATTTACTGCGAAATATATGACAAATGAGGATGTTTCATTTCAAGTTGTTTTGTATTTCATCCTCCACTGCTGACAAACAAAAATGGCTTCTCACATTAGAACATTTATGCTGAGTCTAAAATCTTGCACTCCCGAGAAATGCAGAACCCGCACATTTTGTGACAAACAGAAAACCAAGCTTATCATAAAATTGACTTCACATTTTAGATGATAACATAGTGTAAATAGCTGGCAGGACGTGTGAGATGATTTCAGAGAAATTAACTCACAACTTGGCACAGCAGTTCCCACAACACTCACTGTCTACAGAAAAGGTATGCAAAGAAAGTGTTGATGTATGAAAAACAATAGAGGAATGTTGGAAGCAGCAGTGTCAGCATGGGTCGTAAACTGAGTGCGTGCGTGTGTGGACGTTATATCATATATGCTGTCCAAACTCTGCTCATCAAGAAAAGTCATTATCGTCCCATAAATAACCAGTGAGAAGCACTGCTGAGCACACACACACAGTCCCAGCTGAATGTGGTTACTTACACAAATATGCATGTCCACACAAATACACACACAAGCACAGTTCTTTGCATCTAGGTGCTTTGCTCTGTGTCTTGAAAGTTTAAAAGAAACTGAGCAGAGGCGGTAGTTAGAAGGTAGGTAGAATATATCACACAAACTCAGACACACACACATTAAGACAGAGAGACATAAGCTCTCTCACACACTCTCTCTCTCTTGCTCAGGAGTGTAGCTGATCTGTAATAAATCCTTTGAAACAGTTTGCAGAGACCTCCTGGCTCCTGGTATGTATGTATATGTGTGTGTGTGTGTGTGTGTGTGTGTGTATGCTGCTGTACTTACAGAGGGGAGGAGTGGTTTGCATGGTGTCCAGGGGGCCTCACTACTGCGAAGCCATTCTGTGAAAGGAGAGCAAAAACTTTAACACCTTGCTGCTTTCAGCAGCCACTACAGCCCACATCTTTAAGCTTACACATGGTAATGGTGTTGTATATGCTGTATGTTAAATTCTGCAGACCAAAACATTACTATACTGTATAATAGTTGTTTACCCCACAGATCTGAAATTCTTTAGAAAGCACATGGTATTTGTTGATAAGGTATTTGCTAACAAATACACACCTTCAGCTCTCCCTGTGCCACCTTCAGTGCCAGGTCTGTGACACATCCTGCAGCAATACGGGAAGCTGCTGATGTATGAAGTTCATTCCAGACTGTATCGATATCTACCTGTAGGTAAAACAGTGAGGAGATATGTAAAATCAGTTCAAAAGTCAGCCTCAGATGTAAACTGACTTCTGTTTGAATGGTTAGAAAGTTTCTGCATGTTTTTAAAAATTATTTTTTTGTTTTTTATGATTAGTTTAACAGACTCATCAAACCTGGACTTTCAACCCATGAAAGATTTACTGAAAGCCAGTCAGACCAGATTGCAGATTTTTACCTGACAGTCCCACTGGAAAACCTCAGCCCGCAGGTTTACCACATTTTATTTGGTCTAGCTGCTCGGCCAGTAAGGAGTTGACTATTTGCAGTTCTGTCTACGAGGATTCACGTTAATCAAACTAGATCAAGTTTACTTTTGACTGCACTTCCTTTATTCTGATACACTAAATGACAGGAATAATTAATCTTTAAGTGTATAAAAAAAGAAAAACCTGACAGTGGACATTTAACTTCTGTGAATACTAACAATCGCTGAGAGACTTCTTTATTCCCCATCCACTTTGTCTTTGTTGCATCTATTGTCTTTATAAACCTTGTCTTGTGTTTCAATGTTAGTCCATGTTTCACAACTCACATTGGTGGTGTGCTGCGGTAGGACAATGAAATCAAAGGAATTTTTCTTTCTCTTTTCTCTTTTATCATAGACTTTGCCATCTTGTTCCAATCACCCCTCTCCACCAGAGCAGCCAAGGGCCCGGAAATCCAGGCAGATCAGTCGTCTTATCAACTGACACCCAGCCCCCTTCTTCTTTTCCTACCGCCTCTCCTCTGATTGTGCTTCGACGGTTTCTCATAGGCATTGTCTGTGTTTTGCCATATCGGAGGAGAAAACATCTTTAGGTCCTTTTTTATCATCATTCTCTCATAGCCCCTTGTGAAACTGAATCTATTATGATCCCTTCCTACACATTTTATCTTCCTGAGTTCTCATTCCCATGTTTGCCCACACCCACTCCCTCCAAATAAAATACAGTTTCACTGGCACGTACCCCTCCAGCAGCAGTTTCTATGTATACCCCCTTTCTTCCACATTTCACCTTTGTACAGCCTTTGATTTGCCTCTGATTGCGTTTCAAAGTTACCTTGGCCAAAAACAATAGCATTAGCAATTTGTAGCATTATTAGCTTAATTGTGTAATGAGGCATAATCAGCCATGTAATGTTTGCTGTTCAGTAATGCAATTAGATAAGTGGAAAGATTCCCACATGACTTGTGTTTTAAGGGGGTCTGTGACATCTGTGCGTGTGTATGTGTATGCGCGCGTGGCACTCACCCCAACTCCTCCACATGGTAACATCACGAAGATCCGTTGAGATAAGATTCCTGCAGGAAATAATTTATGGCATTCAGCTGTCATGGATGTTTATATTATTAGTATTATTATAACAGTATAATTATTGCTTTTTCATCATAATTACCAGCCAGCTTGCGGTTGTCCAGCTTGAGGCGGTTGAGCGGGTTGGTGCCGAACAGAAGCACATGCTTCTCAGAATGGACTGACTGCAGCTCCTCTAGAGTGGCCTTCCTACTGCGGATACGCTACACACACACACAGACATATTTACTGCATATAATACTGACTCTGGGGGAATGCAACTGCCAGTATGTGTAGTGTATGTGTGTGTGTGTGTGTGTGTGTGTGTGTGTGTGTGTGTGTCTGTGTGTGAGCTATACCTCACACTGGCTCCTGAGACCTCTTTCATGGAGTCTGGACCAGATGCTCTGGACCCTCCCAGCATGCTCAGGGTGGCGGCTGTTGTCCCCACAGGTACACTGGTGCTTTTGCATCTGAGCGTCATAAACAAGACCTAGGGACACACACACACACACACACACACACACACAATCTCTTAACCTTATTTTCCTCCTTCAGCATTTCATGATCCAATTGTACATGAATTGTAACTAAAATACATCACCAGGTAATGATTCATGGCTCATATTTTGCTCATTACAAAGGTGGCCCTCACCTGTGGTGAAGCGTAGCTGGATGTCTGCAGCAGGGCTGGTCAGAGATAGGGAAGGTATGGTGGTAGGTGGATGTTGAGGAGGAGGCAGGGAGGTGGAGGCTGGGGAGGACTGGGTCCGAACCAGAGGCTGGTGAGGCCAAATGAGAGCAGGTACACCTAGAGGGTCCAGCTGGAGACCTGTTCTAAGGATCACCTGCCTCTGTGGTTCCAAGGTCCGTGAGTAAAGAGAAGAACAGGCGCATTCATCAGCACCAGCACACGGCAAAACCTAACTGGAGTAAACCTCTACATAGTCATAAGTCAAATGCCTCTCTTTAGTACACTGCAACTACTCATTATTTGGTCAATTTAACACTGCTTGTCTAGAACAAGCAACTGATGAAGAAAAGTCAGCATTGCCAAGTATGCTGCCACAATAATGTTCTCGTGTGTGTGTATGTATAATATATATACACACACACACACACACACACACACACACTGTATATAAAGCTACAGCGCCCTCTGATGGCTTAAACTAGTGAATTCTTGTACATTAGCACAGGGGATGCACGTTTACAAAGGTAGACATGATCAATAATTCAATTAAAAACTAAATTCTAAATATTAAACAATTTATTGGAGGGCATAACATGCATGGCCTGTGAATCTGGTAATTGATACTCATCAGTACCATCAAGGTGCACAAAACAAACAGTTATGCTACTGAGGTCATACATCAAAATACTTCTTCTTCCAGTACCAAAAAGAATATTAAAGCACTAAGGAGATTTTCTTTTAAGGAAAAGTCATCATTCCTTGGCAAAGCTCTGTGTGTGTGTGTGTGTGTGTGTGTGTGTGTGTGTGTGTGTGTGTGTGTGTGTGTGTGTGTTTGTTTGTTTGTTTATATTAGTACCTGACTGAGAGAATGTGAGGGTTCGATCAAGCTCTCCCGTGAAGAGGTAGTGGACTCTGTGTCGTAAACTGAGTCTGTGCTGGCAGTGCTCTGTCTCCTGCAGTAGCTGTCTTCACACACTGAGCCCGGTTCTGATCCACACACGGATCCTGGCCCTGAACCAGATCCTGATCCGATCTCCTCCAGGTCCATCTCCTCCGATGGGATCTGTGTCAGACGAGGCTTCTTAATGGACTTGCTTGTCGGCTAATATAAGGTACAAGTTTTGCATTGTTTACAAGTCTTACAGTTGCTGAATCTCTTATTAATGTGCATTTGTGTACAACTGACGATAACAAATTATTAGAACCACCACTGTCATCATTAGAACTAACTAGTTTGTTCAGCATTAGAACTAACTAGTTTGTTCATTTGTGTGCAGCATGCTAGTGTCCACGCCTGCGCCATCTCACCTTGCTCAGCTGTGCATTCGGCTTGAACCTTTCCAGCCCGCTCTTGTAGTACTGCTGGGTCAGGTGGTGCTGATTGTGTGAGTGATGGCTGGTATGCAGAGTAAGGGGCGAGTGGCTGTAGGGCGGAGGCTCGGAGCGTGTTCGCTCCAGGGGTCTGTGGGAGGGCAAAGTGACCAAGCCTTCCCTTCTGGAAAGGTGACGCTGCTGCTGGTGAGGATGCTGCTGCTGCTGCTGCTGCAGCAAAGGAATGGAGCTCAAACCAGGAACTGCAGAGAGGAAGAGACACGAGAAGCAGCTTAATAAAGATGAGGGCAGACAGAAGAAGAGGAGGTATGGGTACATGGGAAGGCAAAGAAGAAGTGGAAATGGAAAGAGAATTATCGGATGTAAGGAAAAAAAAATGCATCACCATCCAGAGCCGTATAGAGGGCGCCCTAGTCCTATTTATAAAATTCAGGCAAAAGAAATGTAGTACAAGACAGAGGGTATAAATGTTCCTACAGTCTCTGATTTAAAATGTATAGACAGCAAACATTTTGCCTTGTTTTAGCAGAAGAGCAGGTGTTACATCACACTGATGGCTCTGCTCCACTTATGTTAGCATTGCCGGTGAACCAGGACGCACAACACCAGGACCCTTAACTTGCCTTATTATTGATTTCCTTTGTTACATATGTGCTACAACAAGTTAAAATGTCTGTAAAAGGTTTATTATTAGTGTTGTACTGTTCCCGTTACGTGTTATATACAGCTTGTATGTCAACGCAAGTAAACAGCCAGCCAAACTCAATTTTCACGAGCCAGGAAGTGAGTGCCTTGCTCCTTTATTGACTTTGTTCTTCATGCTTGACAGGTGAAAACCTATGAATGAAACTGAAATAAACGAAAGGCAGAAAATAAACAAACAAACAATAAAGTTGCTGTATGGCTACAAAACAGCTGGCCAACAAGAGCTAACACTAGCCACCCATCCATCCATCGTCAACCACTTATCCTGCGTACAGGATCGCGGGGGGCTGGTGCCAATCCCAGCTTACATTGTGCGGAAGGTGGGGTACACCCTGGACAGGTCGCCAGTCCATCGCAGGGCCACACATAGACAAACAACCACTCACACTCACACCGAAGGACAATTTCGGAGACACCAATTAACCTAGCCTGCATGTCTTTGGATGGTGGGAGGAAGCCGGAGCACCCGGTAAGACCCTTGCTGTGAGGCGACAGTGCTAACCACAGTACCACTGCGCCGCCCCCAACACTAGCCATTAACCAAATTACATGCAAATTATGTTTGTTTTAACAACACGTCTCCAGGTTGTAGGTTTCGATGTGTCCTGTGCCACTTGCATCTTGGGTGTAGAGTGCTAATGTATTCATTCCTCCAGCGGTTCCAGAATTCATTTGCAAGCACTTGCACTTGTCTCCACTGGCACTTCAGCAGATCTTTTTCATCGAAGGTTCCTGGTGGAGCAGATAGCCCTGGCTTTTGGGAGCATGCAGGGGAAAGTAAGATTGGTGCCGAGGGATCCGATGAGATAGGTACCAGTGGCCTTGCATTGATTATTGCTGACACCTCTGCCAGAGTACAAAGCACCTCATGTGTCAGATGAGCTTGTTTATTTTGCAAAAGAATGGAGTCCAAGATTCTGCGTGTCACGCCGATCATCCCACACTCCTCCCATGTGGGATGCATGTGGGGGATTGAACTCCCATGTGCAGCCATTGATTTGGAGATACTTCAAGATGCTGGTCCACTTTGCATCAGGATGTCCCATGTCCAGCCCCAAACTAGCAGCAACAAAGTTGGTGCCACCGTCCGACCTGAGCTACTTTGCTGGGCCTCTAACTGCAAAGAACCTTTGCAAGGCATTGTTGCAGCTGGTAGTATCCATGGATTCCATAACTTTGATGTGTACGCCCCTGGTACTCATACACGTGAACAGTATGGCCCACCTTTTGCTGTGCACCTCCTCGAGTGCGTCAAGTGACCACTGTCCACGGTCCAAATACATCCAGCCCCACATAAGTTAAAGGTGGAGATGTGTTAAGCTGCTCTGGAGGGAGGTCAGCCATCTTCTACATTTCTAGCTTGCGGCATGTTACACAGTGAGGGATGAGAGAACTGACTAAACGTTTGTCTACGACAATCCACATTCCTGCGGCCCTAATTGCACCTTCTGTAAACAGCCGCCCCTGGTGATTCACTTCCATGTGATAGTGTTTCACAAGCAGTTTGGTTACATGACTTTGCCTCGACAGGATGATAGGGTTTTTAAACTCTGATTCAAGGGAAGCATGTCTGAGACGTCCACCAACTCTCACAGACCATTGCTCATGTAGGGGTCAAGGTTCAAGATTGAACTTGAACTAGACACTTCTCTGTTTACTTGAAGAGCAGCATACTCATCTGGGTATGTGTCTCTTTGTACAATCTTATGGATCAAGCTCTTGACAGCTGCAAGTTCTTCAGGTGTACGAGGCTTGCTGCATTGATGCCATCCTTTACATGTGTGCTGTGATGTGTCTGTGGAGCCTGACCTGTGAGAACGTGCCTGGTGAATCAAGAGTCAAACTGCTCTTAGCAAGGAGTCCCATGTGGAAAAACGCTCAAAACGTTTAGAGGTAAGTCCCCCGGCTTCGATTTGGGTAGCGAGAGCAGTCACTTGCGGCCTGACTTCCACATCCATTTCGGGATCTATTAGTTCGAACAGTTCACATGCTTCAGGCTCCGGAGGCTTGTTCAAGAAGTCAGGACACTTGAACCACATACTATCCATAAGTTGCAATGCAGTTACAGATCTGGTGACCAAATCAGCTGGGTTCTGTTCTGAAGGGACATAGTGCCACTGCTTGGGGGAAGTCGTCTGGCGTATACGATGCACACGATTATGTACAGATGTAACCAAGAATGACTGCTGTCACAGTAGAACTTCACAGCATTTGGCTTGTGGTCCAGTTCCTCCAAGATGAGCTCCGCCATCTCGACCGCCAGAACGGCTACACAAAGCTCAATGCCGGGAATTGTGCGGTGATAGTTTTGCTTTTCCAAGCACAAATCCCACTTCACAATGACCCTCTTCAGTGACAGCTTGTACGTAAACTACTACCCCTATGGCCCAGATTGAGGCGTCGGAAAAGAGACAAAGCTCTGTGTACACAGCTCTTGAGTGACATCTCCACATAGCATGGAGGCTGCTCAGCTCCTGGAGTGACACTTTCCACGCTTCCCATTTTCTCCTTTTCTCTTCAGGAAGGAATCCCAATCCTGTCCGATACTGGATAGCTCTCGTAACAACAAACGGCCTTGAATTGTTACCGGCACTGCCAATCCCAAGGGGTCAAAGATGCTATTGATGACTGATAACACCCCACGGCGGGTGTAAGGCTGGTCTGTAATGGCAACTTTGAATGTAAAGGTATCTGTGCTTATGCCACAGCACAAGCCCGGGCTCCGTTGGGTAGGCAGAGTTTCATTGTGAAGACCCAAATCCATGATGTCAGTTCTTCAAGTTTGAAGGCCTGCATAACGTCAATGCTGTTTGACGGGATTTTATGCAGTTTCAGGTTCGACTCTGCAAGTGATTCACAAGTAAGCTTCAGTAGGTCTATAGCTGTGGACTCCGTGGGAAGCGATATGAGTCCGTCATCCACATAGAAATGTCTCTCAACAAACTGCCGTGTGTGAGCTCCATACTGAGCTCACCCTTCTGAGCAGCTCGTTGGAGACAGTAGATAGCCACCGCCGGGAATGGGCTATTTCCGAAGTCGTTATTTCTATGCCAGAGGAATCTCAAATAGTTTCTATGGTCATGTCTCATCAGACAGGCATAAAACATCTGTTGGATATCAGCTGTGACTGCAATGAGGTCCTTCCTGAACCGCAGCAACACTCCAAGGAGAGTATTATTCAGGTCAGGACCTGTCAGCAGCACAGAGTTGAGGGAGACACCATGTTGTTGGGCACTAGAGTCAAACACGACTCTTATTTGGTCTGGCTTCTGGGGATGGTACACCCCGAAAATAGGCAAGTACCAGAATTCACATTTCTCACCGATCGACGGTGCCTTCTCTGCATGCTTGTTTTCAAACAGCTTTTCCATGAAGGAGGAAAACTGCTGTTTCATCTCAGGCCTTTTTGTTTATCTCATCCTCGAAAGACATGGCACTGGTTCATCGTACATCGTACATGTCCTCGTACATTCAAACACTGTAAGGCCAAGCTTGTCTTACAGAATGGACGTCCGTCAAATTATTTCTATGGTCATGTCTCATCAGACAGGTATAAGACATCTCAGCTGTGGCTCAGGAGATAGTGCGGGTTGGCCGTTAATCGGAAGGTCGGCGGTTCAATCCCTGGCTGCATGTTGAAGTGTCCTTGGGCAAGATACTGAACCCCGAATTGTGTGAATGTTAGTTTCTGTTTGAGCACTTAGGCTCAGTGTATGAATGTGTTTGACTGGTGGATGTAGTGTAAAAGCGCTTTGAGTGGTCAAAAAGACTGGAAAGGCGCTATACAAATACGGAGCATTTACATTTGGCATTCATGTTGATATACGCGTGGAGAGTGCATACCTGTGCTCCCCGCTGTAGCTTGGTTTTTCTCTTACACTGATGCTGTTATGGCAAGGAGTGAGGAGAGACGGACGTCCATTCTGTAAGACAAGGGTTCTGAAGACACTTGGGGTTGGCTTGTGAGCATTGTCAAGGCACACTTCGCCCACGATTACCCAGCCTAAGTCTAGACGTTGAGCAAAGGGTGCATTGTGGGGCCCATTGACTTGTTGTCTCACCTTATGCACTCGTATCATGTCTCTTCCCAGCAAGATCATCATCTGAGCATCAGGATCTAGCTTGGGTATGTAAGGAGCAATGTGTTTTAAGTGAGCATGTGCGAGAGCGACCTCTGGTGTTGGTATTTCAGATTTATTGGTCATTATCTCATTGCACTGAATGAAAGGAGGGAGATCCATGCATACTCCTCCATTCACTGCTTCGATTTGAAAGCCCACTGCTTCCAGTCATCTCTGTCGTGCCAGCACATATCAGGTATGGCGACAAATCACCTTCGATCTCAAATAGGTGGAAAAAATCAGAGCGAGCCAGTGAGTGGTTGCTCTGATCGTCAAGTATGGCGTACATCTTGATGGAGCGTTCCGGTTGGCCTTTAGACAAGACTCGCACCAAGCACACCTTTGAACAAGCATCTGGTTCTGACACAGGCGATAGAGGAGTGGGCTTGGAGGTGTCAGGATGCATTGTAGAGCAGTGTCTTGTTCTTTTAGGATGTTTTTTCATTCTAGTAATGTTTTCATTCTAACCAGAGGATGAGTTTTCTTGTGAAAAGGACAGTATTGAACAGGATCACTGTCTTTGCCCTCAGTCTCTGCTGTACTTGTGGGGCCTGCGTCAACATCTGTCTTTTGAACGGATACAGCAGTCTTGACTCCGTAGTGCTTTGATAGTGTTCTCTTGCTTTTGCTGCAAAACTGACTGCTGGTTGACAAGACGAAGTTTGGGTCATTTCTTGCCTTAGACTGGCCACTGACAAAGTTGGCAAAGAACGAAAAGGAGGGAAAGGTTACTTTGTGTTGTTCCTTATACTGGGAACCAGTGAGGAGCCATTTATCCTGTAGGCCCGGAGGCAATTTTTCCACTATAGGCTTTATCCCACGAGGAGTATCGAGGTAGGCAAGGCCAGGGAGATATCCATCATTTTTAGCAGCCAGAAGCTCCATAAGAAGATCACTAAGCTCTCTTAGTTTTATGTTGTCTTTAGCGGATAATCGGAGGAAGCTATCCAATCTTTTGAAGAGGGCGTCTTCTACTACTTTGGGTGTTGCGTAACATTCTCGAAGTCTTACCCAAGAAAGCTGGAGCGCATCATGAGGATTGGTGACATGAACAACACGTATCCTTTTAACATGGTCTGATGACTCTTTACCAAGCCATTTTATCAGGAGGTCCAATTCTTCACCATATGTGAGCCCCAAGCCCTGTGTTGCATTGAGGAATGAGGACTGCCAAGCCCTAAAATTCTCTGGTGTGTCATCAAATTTTGAGACCAGTAGACACTAACTCTCTACATGCTAGAAACATGGCAAAGTCGATCATAGGTTGGTTGTTGGCATGAGGAGTTTGCTGACCATATTGTCTGTGAGGGTTATCTGGTGTCCTAGACACAAGTATGTGATCAGTTTCCTGTGTGCTCATTCACTGTGGATGTGAAGATGGCATTCGTGGGCTTTTTATCCGCGTCCACAAGTGATGTCTGCAGTGTGAGATTTTTGACACAATGTAAGATTTCGTTGTGCAGCGACGAAGCGGAAGCTTGAGTATTGAGCTGTGTTTGATGTTGTACATACTCTTCTGTTCTCTGTTGGACAACACTTGGCAGGACAGTGCTCCTTACACTTTGTGCGTCTTCAAATTTCATAGCTACCTCAGCTTTTACCCGAGCAGCTTCTGCTTCCCTTTCAACCTCCAAAGCTTCCAAATCGGCGTCCAGCGTAGCCTTTTCTAGATCTAGCCTAGCTCTCTCATTTTTGATTTCCAGACGGTTTTTAGCGTAGGCCATTTTGGTATGTGCAGCTTCAGCTGACGCTCTGGCTCTAGCAGCAGCCTCAGGGACAGAGCACTTAGAAGAAGATGTGCATTTAGAGCTGGCTCTTGATGCCGCCTTGACATAAGACTTGAAAGAACCTGCACTCTTGAGGATAGCTTCCGACTTAACCTTTTCATCTTTGACACTGGATTTGGGGTCCATGGCTGTGTAACAAATTTTTCTTGCACCCACTGCTTGTGTGGCTTTTCACTGTACTGTTCCCGTTACGTGTCAACGTAAGTAAACAGCCAGCCAAACTCAATTTTCACGGGCATGTTCGTCATGCTTGACAGGTGAAAACTTAGGAGTGAAACTGAAATAAACAAAAGGCAGAAAATACTTATAATGTCTCTTTGATAACAAACAAACAATAAAGTTGCTGTATGGCTACAAAACAGCTGGCCAATAAGAGCTAACACTAGCCATCAACCAAATTACATGCAAATTATGTGTTACCATTAGCATCTAGCCTAACTTTATCACAAATTAGCATTTCTGTCACACTAGAATAAATTCTTGTTAATTCTGTGCATTTACAACTAACATTGTACACAGAAAGTAAAGGTCACTTATACCATGTCAAATATTGTATTAAACAGCCAAAACACTTACAGCCATTGCTTTCGTGAGAGAAAGAAAAGCGAAGACACAGGAGAAACCTTCCCCACGTGCACCACTATGCCTGCAACTCTTAATTGGGGTTTCCTAACCCAGCATGCAGGGCATGTCTCTTGCAGTATCAAAATAAAGGTTCATCTTTCAAAATAAATGTTCAATACAAACCTGTTTTACTGATTACAAATCAGAGGGCAGAACAAGTGTTGTTAATAGTTGATATAGAGTTTTTTGCTGAGACTGGCAGGATTTAAATGAAGAAAAGGTGAAACTGCAACAAAAAATTACAACAATAAAAACAATTGGTAAAGAGTCTCTTACACAGGTAAGCAATTTGACTTACAATCAAAAATGAGCAATAACTAATTTTCTTTCAATATACACATAAAAAATAACCACCACGTTTATAAACAAAATCTACTCACTAAAAACATGTAAGACTAACAAGCAAGGAGAGTCACAATCGAGTCCCTCGATCTTTTATGTTAAAGTTACGCCACACTCCCCCACCACCACCTGTTTACTACATTCGACCTCGGAAACAGGTCTGAGGTAAGACCAAGGGGGTTAGTGGGATGTCATCATTACCACTTTCTTCACTAAAGGGTCCTAGCTTGGAAAGGCCTTAATTATCCTTCCATGGAGAACTCATTTCTTCAAGCTTGTTCATCTTTTAGCAATAGCACATCTCCTTCTTTAATATTTGGCTGCTTTGAAGAGCACTCAAATATATTCTGGTGCCACCTTGGCCAGAATGTGTCTGCTAACACTTGGCCCCAAAACATCCAACCTACACACGTAAAGTGAGGTTCCTGTCATAGACGACCTGGGGGTAATCAGTCATCTGTTGCTGCTCTACCCTGCCACATATTTTCTCACATATTTCACATTTACAATAAGGCTGGCAATTGCTCTCTTTGCACCCTCTATCTATAAACCATTTGCATGCATAGCACATTCTGTAATGTGCCTTCCCTGATACTTATTCTTCTCATGGTTATGGCAAATAAGTAACATTGAAACATGGTGCTTTCCAGGGATGAGGATAGTCCGTTCCTAGATTAGAGTGTTGTTTTTCACTCGACCCCCCATGACATCTGCCTTATTTGAGGCAATTTGTAGACCTTGATGTAGCAGGCCAGCAGGCTGTGGGTGCTCTTTAAAATGTCCACAGCTCAAGCTTCTGTTGGAAACGATCAGAGGGCATCATCTAGATAAAGTCTGTATTTATGAAGGGACAAACATCACTGAAAGGTACCAATGGTTTTCATCTTTCTTGGGGCACTCTGCAGAAAGCGCCTGCAATTAAATTAATACATGTAAATGTAATCTAGCACATTGTTGTAGTAATTTAGTAGATCCCTGTTTTTTTTTGTCAACAAAGAAAACAATAAAACATTGGCAAAAATCAGCAGTCCCAGTGATGAAGACACCCTGCTGAGATTAGGCCCTGGGACTGAGCACTATCCAGCTACCAGCGTCATCACTAAAAATCCCAGCATCCACTGAGAGCAGAAAGGTCAGTAGGTGCAAGCTGATAGTCCCTCTCATTCCCTGTTCCACCCAAGCGGTTTTCTTGTGGTGCGTTAGGACCTAGTCTTTATATAGTAGGAAATCTCCTTAACTCTGACAATGTCATCACTAGGGTGGAGGTGACTGGGATGACTATTATCCAGGAAATATGTTTGAAAGGTAGTGACACTGATGTAGTATGACCTGATGGTGGATTTGATTTGTAGCACGTTGACTGCTACCTGGCTGGAATGCATCAGATAGCTGACAACATGGCTGGTATGGGCTGGAGTATTCCTGAATATGACGATTTAGAATTTGTTGATAATGCTTCTCTTACATTTACAGGTCAGCAGTTAAATAGACCAGTGGTTCTCAAACCTTTTCACATCAGGGACCCCTAAACTAACACAAAATAGACCACGGACCCCCATTTGATAAGATTATGTCCCAGGGTCCCCCATCTGATATATGTATATGAAACCCGTGACCAAAATAGTCAGACAATCTGTCACTGTGCTACTTATGGATAGAATTATAAGGAAAACTATTTTTTGCTGGGGATGTCCTGGAACCCCAACAAGGACCACCTTAAATACTATTAGAGTACTGCAATAAACAATTTTCTTTCGATATATAGCTTACATATTGAAAATCTTCTCACTACTAATGTCACAGGAATAGAACTGAAGAAGCATGGCTATAAATTGCTCATACTCAAAACATCTACTTATAACTTATAAGGTTTTACTAAAGCTGCATGACTAACATCACTTCCTGATTACAGATGACAAAATAAAAGCTCACATTTCACAATAAAGTCCCTAAATGTTTGATGGTTCCAGCACAATAAGGATTTTTCAAATGTGCATGTACACACGTTCTCTTGTGTAGTCACTTGCATGTCCAAATGTGCACATTGAGGTATTTCTGTTTCTGCTGTACAACACATTTAGAGTCACACAACTCACGAGAGACAAGTTGGGAGTGCAACAGTCCAGTGTGTTGTTCCACAATGAGCACAGGCAGGCGCTGAGCCATGGCTGGACTGCTTCCTTCCAGAGGCAGGTAGACCTGATGCAAAGCAGATACAGCGAATGGCCTTGCTACACGCGGGTCAGCCTGGGGGGGGCGGGAGAGGAGAGGAGAGATGATGGTAAGAATTCGAATCAGAAGGAGCTTTATTGCCAAGTAGTGTTTTACACATACGAGGAATTTGCTTTTGTGATAAGGTGCTACACGTAGACAAACATACAGTTGACATAAATAAATGTAGAAATATATAAATATGGAATAGACAATGCAAGTTATAATACAACTATTTACAGAGAAAAGAAGAAAAATATATAAGAATAAGAAATACTGGAGGGGTAACTAGGGATTAGGGAAGCCCACGCTGTGAATGCAGCTTATCACCATTGAGCAAAAGGCAGGGTTAGTGCATAGGGCGAGGACTTCATGAGCTGTTCGCATGTAGACTCATCAACAAACATACTAACAATGTAATCAAGGGAGTGAACTACCACATGACTGATTCACAAGATATGAAAGTGCCACAGAAATCAAGAGGGAAGTGAAAGCCTGAATATACCACATGTTTCTATATGTGTTCAAGTGTGCAGTCACTGTCTTAGACATTGAGTCTAATTCATAGCATGATGTCTATCTATGTGATCTGTAAATTTATTTAAGTCATTCTTTAAATGGATGCATGATTCCGGAACATATTTGTAGTTTTTGTTGTGAAACAAAACGTTTAAACAGTTTAAATATTGATTCTGAAGGAAACCCTAGAAAGTATCGTTGCCCACCTGTGCAGGAAGTCCGGCAGTGATGTTGGGCATGGCAGTGGGGTTGGGGGGCAAGGTGAAATGAGCCAAACTACCATCCTTCAGCAGCAACCTCTGTGCCTGAATGAGACAGTAATAGTCATGAATTCTTTATCTGGTACAGATGATCACATGCAAATGATCACATCATCCAACAAAAAGCACTCATTTACAAAGTTAAAATTAGGGACATACTGTATAGAGCAATGGGCTGAGAGTTATTATACAAGACTTGCATGTTAGAAACTGATAAACCTTCACTATAGTTGTAACCAGCAAGGTAAATTATAGTACATTTACTAAATAAATGAAGAGTGATCAACTGGCCTTCTCAAATCTCCCTGTTTAAAGCATCAGGCACCATTAATGTACTGCATTTAACACCCTATTATTAGTCAACTGTTGGTGGTTGACTCTTGCATCATCATACCGTAAGTAGGACTATATGTTTTTACTGTTTAAAAGAAAGAAAAAGGTTTTCTAGGATATATTTTTTAGGATTAATCCATAATAGGAAAATAAGAAGTTTGAAGGTTGACCCTCTCTTGTCCCCAGTATTGTGTTAATGTCTACTTGAACAGGACACTGAACCCTAAGCTGTGCACTCTTTATATGGTAATGTGGATAATAAAGTCTACTAAATTACTATAATATAAATATAAGAGAAGGTCTGACCTCATGAGCCAATGGGAGGGCCCCATTATCCGAATGGAGGCTGTCGTTGGGTGAGCTGCTCCCCGAGGCTGGGGTGCTGCTGGGAGAGGAGTCTGGGTGACAGAATTCAGACACGCCTATCAACCCATGATAGCCAACACTGTCAGAACAAATGTGTTCACACAGCACCAAAAGACAAACATAACAAACTAGAAAATCTTTCACACTGTGTCAGTATAGTATGTGTTGTCTCGCGTTGAAAAGTAACAGAGATAGAAACGGCACATCCAAACAGCACCAACTTTAAAAAGAGCTAAAAGAGCCGTTCAAAAAAAACCCCAGAAGCTTAAGATCATGAGAGCGTTCCCGCTAAATGTAGATACTATACCCAGAGTTTCTGTCCTGTGCTTCACAGCTGGAGGGGCACTGGTCTTACGCTGCAGTGGGTTTGGCCTTGTACTGATGAGCTTCTTTAACTTCCACTTCAGAGTGGGCTCTGAGACTGCACACACACAAATATACACAAATGAATACATGAAGAAGAACACACTCAGATATGGACATAATTATTCCTAAGGCCTCATAAAAAGGAAAAGACACCTATAGCTTTTCAAACTCACAGAACTTGATCGGCAAGAATGCGCTCACTCAGTATCGCACAGACTATAATGATACACTCAATTCTTGTAACAAAACCAACTTAAACCAATCTGCAGCACAGCTGAACCAAGCAAATACCTCAGACCTGGTCAATAGCATAAAAAAAGTTCCATGTTTACATTGGTCAGGCTCCAATAGCCCAAACAAAACAATCAATCAGTGGCTGGCTCAGAGTAGATAAAAGGCAGCTTTTGTGCTGTCGCCGGGCCAAAAAAAGCACTGGAGGGTGTGTGTGTGTGCTGGCACCTAAGGGTTCTAGGGCAACGCAAATAAACAATGGCATTTTGAATGGTTAGTGTACAGATGTACAGGAAGACGAAACCACTACAACTCTCATTCACACTGTGAGGGAGACCTGCCCTGGACTCTCACGCAGTTCATTTTACACATACTTCTGTTAAAGTTATGTAACTACTTTGGTTTTTATGTCTCGCTGTTGTTTCTCGACTGTTTGTCTCTCTCTGGCCCTGCAGGCCTGGTGCTTTATGAGATTCATTCGTCCTACTGGAAAGGACACTCCTGTGTACATTGATTCTCTCCCTCACTTTCTCATTCTCTAGTCCAGAATATGCAGCGTAATGATGGTTTGCAGAGACACGGGAAAGTATCATACCGAACAAAATATCCCACTTTGAGTCCAACTTAAATTACACAGAGCAAGACAGTCCTGAAATGGAAAATCACCAGTGGCCTTCACAGCTTTAACCTCACGGTGGGAACCCCCAAACAGCCAGAGGTTTCTCACCTGTCCTGCGCAGAGAGAGGTCTTTACGCTGGTCACAGGGTGTAGGCTGAGGCTTTGGGGACATGTCAGGAACTGGAAGCCTAGTTACCAAAAAATAAAAATAAAAATAAAATAATATTGGACAGACTTCCCTCAGGAGTGGGTATGAAAAGATTTGTTCATTTTTAAAATTTTTATTTTACTTTTATTAAAATCAGGAAAGGAAGAGGCCTTCTGAAGCTCTGCTGTATTACAGCAATGAAATGTTACAGTTGTATTTTATGGAAAAGCAATGCCGTGTTTGCAGCTCTAGCAGTCTAAGTTCATTGATCTTGAAGTTTTGCTCGGTCTGTTTGTCGCTCTCACCTGTATGCTGGTGAAGGACTGCTGTGGTTGTGGTTTGGAGTAACCCTGTCATGAGTGGGCTGGCTCTTCATAATTATGTGTTCCCGAAGTTTCTGCCTTACCAGAGGACTGGACACGGCACCTACCAGTCAATAAAGTCACTTCATCAGGAAATTGGTAGACAACGATTTAGAATGCAACACAATATACAGTACACTATATTGGTAGACTTACAGTCAACAGTGGGGCTGATAATAAAATTATAATGTTTTTGATAGTGAAATCTGAACAGTTTTTCTTCACAAAGAACTGTATATTACTGTAGTATCAGTAAGTCAGGAGACTTCTGAAGTAGATATTAGAGATCCAGGATATTTGCCACTTTCCACTAAGCTCTGCTCATTTCCTCTACATGGTAAAAATACATGTTAAAAGTGTTTCCTGAAACACGTATATGAGTACAAATCTCCTTGGAATCTGAGAATCACAGTACAATTGGAAATCCCCCTCTTTTTCATTGAAACCTACTGTGTGCTATGACTCAGATGAAGAGCACGTCAACAACCAAAAGGTCTTTTAGAGAACCTATGAAAACACTCTCTCAGAACGTAGAAATACGTTACATGTCATACTCACTCTGCTCATTTTTACTCTTTCGTATCAGCTGTTGTAGCTCTCCACTTTTCCCCTCCATCTCGTTTTGCTTTTGTTCAATTTTATACTGAGGGGGAAGAAAATGAATAGATGTTAACATTGACCACTCCAGACTGCATGGGGAACAGACAAACACTGCCACCGCCACATTCTCTGACGAGTAAACAAATATCTCTACAGCAGCCCCGGCCAGCCAATCCATGGTGTGATTGATCAGACTCTAATGCTGAGAAGGTGGTCTGTTTACAGTAACCTGACCTGCTTCTTACTCATTTCTGCTGAGCATTCAACCTGTGTAAAGGCTTGTGGCGAAAGCAGCTGGCTTGTTCTTGTGGTTGATGCAGCAGGAGGTATGACTGCCTTTCAGTCTGTGCATTTTGTAATGCATCTCATCCTCACCCAAATAAAATGCTGATGCGATAATGTGCAAATGTTGCCAGATGTGGCAAGACTCGACATGGCGGCGAAATTTCATAAGAGTACTTAGTCATATTTAATCTGTCTTGTACTGAATGCTGAAGGTAACACTGAGATGCATATTTTGATAACTTAAAGAGGTGGTATTATGGTCATTTTCAGGTTCATAATCTTATTTAGGGGTTGTACCAGAACAGGTTTACATGGTTTAATTTTCAAAAAACACCATATAAAAAACTCCACATTGCTGCAGCTCCTCTTTTCACCCTGTGTGTTGAAGGCTTCATTTTAGCTACGGAGTGATGCATCTTGCCTCTACATGATCTTTGTTGGGGGTTGCACATGCGCAGTTCGTAGTTAAGGACTACTAGCCAATCAGAAGCATAGAAGGGCATGCCAATGAGAAGCCGGTAAACACAGCTTTGGTTCAGCTGTTTATCCCCTTACCAGCTTAGCAACATAGAGTGGAGCAAGAGAGTGGTGAGTTATTAATCGGTAACAAAAAAGATATAACTCAATAAAGGAGAGGGAAAAGGCAAAAAGCATAATACCACCTCTTTAAAATGGCCAAAAAAAACTCACTCAAACATTTCTTACCTGCAAGTGCTGCTGGGAAAACTGGGAGCAATGCTGAGAAGTGAGGTGTCCCAGGAAGAAGGGAGGGCGGGGGGCCAGCATGGCCGAATCTTGGCTTGGATGTAACAGCCTCTGGCTCACACTTAAGTCCATGGGCTTCTCCCCATGTATTGATAATGATACCTTATTGCTGATGATCACGTCCACTACAGAAGGAGAGAGAGGGAGAATGTAACACATCAGTATGTTGATGGGTTTCCAATGTTTCCTATGCTTGTCGGTGTCAATGTCAGGTTGTCTCTCTGGATTATGAGCTACTTCATGGATACTTGTCTTTTTTGCAGCTTGTATTTTCAATGTTCTGCATGCTGGTCAAAGACAGGTCATCATCACTAGTGTAAAAGTAGTGCAAACATCTTAGATGCCCAGTTAATAACACAAAGGGCCACGTGAGGAAGCATGTTTTTAACAGATATTCACAGAAAAAGTCCGAGAACAATTGGAGTGCCGTTTACTGCTTGTGCTTTATGTAAACATGATCAAGAGTGCACTCAGTTTATTTGGCATAAGTGTATGCCCAGATGTGTACTTGTACTTGAACTCTGCACGTTCACCAGTCATTTTTCATTTGATTCAAGTCTTCCTGCCTCAAGTGAACTGGCCATTGTCCAACAATACATTCAGGAAAGAAAAAAAGAAAAAAAAAAGAAATAGAGGGGTGTTTGTGTGTGTTAGGGGTTTGAGGGGTACAAAAGAAAGAAAGAATGAAGGAAACAGGGTGGGGAGTTGGATTTGAACAGTTTGATCAAGGCATTTGGGTCAGGTATATCAATCTCATCTCCCTTTCCAGGTTTTACTTAAATGAACCAAATAAAAAGCTAAATTTACCACACGTGATACAATTGAACCAAGCTTCAGTGTCCTAACCAAAGACAGATGTCTTTTTATAGGTGCAGGCGAGTTGCGAAAAGGTTTTGACTAATTTTTTGCAATTCAATGGCCATTGAAAATATGTTAGAGAAACATCGAATGATTTAACTGCATACGGCCCTGGTGGCATGACCTATAAAACGTGAGATGGACAGGAAGGCTAATGATAACTGGTAGTGAGGAAACATCAGCCTTGCATTTTTGTGATGCGCCGTAACAACAAGACAAAAACATATGCAAGCTCACAGATAACTTGACACGGTTTTCAAGTGTCAATGCCACCGACACCTGAAACCAACAAACATGATAAAGAATGTTTTCGGTACTGATTCAAAAGCGTAGACTGATACAGTGTGGAAGGAGACACCTTGCTCCCTCTGGGTTAGGGGGACAGTGGGAGAGAGGGAAGGACGTGGAAATTTACTGAACCCGTGTAACAGAATGACTGCAACCCAAAATATTACTCAACATTACTCACATAATTCCTGTAAGTGGATGTTTCAGGCATGTTTACTGGAATATCCTGTTGAATTATGTTACCCGCTGTGGACAGCACTGTAACAACTTTGAAATGACGACACTACCTCTCATATCTCAGTACCTCAGAAAAACATCCTTGCACTGTAAGTATTCACTTGTTTTGGGAGATATCCAGGAGTTCACAAATAGAAGATTAGATTTTCAAACCAACTACACTGATAAGGCACACTAGAAAAAGGAGAAAAATCCAAATGCCAAAGAAACAGATGCAGATAAGTCAAGAAGATGCTGTTTCTAGAGTCAAACACAGAGATTTGAAAGCTCAGTCTTTAAAATCTACAATTAAAATTAACAATAGCTCCAGCAAAAATGGTTCAGTGGCTTTTATGAAGCCCACAACACTTCCATAAGTTACAGAGACAACATTGTCATATCTAACTTTCAGCAGTGCAACAAAAATGGGCCAAAACAAACCTCAATACACAGACTGCACACAAGTCCCACTGAACTTCCCTCCTGCAGGAGCATTACAGTGAGTCGTGCAGACACAGGCAGCATTATTTGGCCCTCATTCCCAACAGCAAGACTGACTCAGAGAGAAATAATCATGTCTGTGAAGGCGTTTCGGGTTGACAGAATTCCTCTGAAGAAGAAAACACTCCCACGGTCTTATTACTTCAGGTCAAGTGAGACTTACACACAGCAGAACATGAAAAAACAGGCAGTGAGTTACTAAGACCAGAACTATTTACAGTACAAGATAATAGAAACAGTTTAAGCTAAGTGGTTTCAGTTCTGTTGTCCACAGTTCATAATAACAACATTATTTGTTCATGGGGACAGCCATGCGTTTTCATGTTTGCTGTATATGTGAGACAGAGAAAACAAAAACTTTGACGCACTCAATACATGCACTTTACACGCTTCTTGCCCTGCACAGTTCTCCTGAGACACTGGAATCCTACCTTGCCAGGTAACTCGAGGAGCACATGTCAGACAAAACTTGATCTCAGAGAGACACTGAAATATTTCAACCTGCCCTGCTTTCGGCTGCCTGCATTACAGTATGTCACTGCTACATTGCTCTGCAATTGACAGGGTTTGTTTTAAATGCTTCAGAGGCCTTTTTACTGTAATTTCTATAAAGTGAAAGGTGCAACAGGAAGAACCCGTTACAGCAGAACAGTATGTATTACCAGAAGAATGTTTGTGTGTTTTCAAAGGAAATCAGACAATCACTGGAGCAGCGGGACGGTGGTGGTAGGGACTCAAATACTGCATACACTCTCTCTCTCTTTCTCACACACACACACACACACACACACACACACACACACACACACACACACACACACACACACACACACACACACAATATTACCAAAGAAGTCAGCTCCCCTGAGAGAAAGGAAATGATCAGGAAGTCAGTCTTACTTCTCATCTAAACAGAAAAGAAACACCTGCGGTATATTTTTACATTGAAAATACAGCAAAGGCCATGCTGCAACAACCATACGTATGTGAATTCTACATCAGTGTGACACTAAAGGTCCTCCCAGAGACACACTGTCTACATTGACTGGCTTGAATTTACGACTTGTTCTGTATCTTTCTTCAAGTTTAAAAGAAAAGCCACTCTACTTAACACAAATGTGTTTGGCTGAGTTTCTTGTACTGACACTGAAGCTTCGACTTTAGGCCGTTAACAGCATGACTCATTACATGACTGGACACAAGAGAAGATTGGTCACCGCATAATGCATTCAAAGAGCCAACTAAGGTTACTTCCACCCTGACCCTGAAAGGTTTCAAACACTGCTGATTACTTACTACCTATCACCTTAACAAAGAGTTACATTACCAGAGACACAGCGTATGCACTTGTTTCAACGTCACATTACAAAAAAGTACTTAAACGGTATTTTTAGCCAACATTGTTTTCCATGGTCTGCTTTTCATCAACAGGGCTCTAAAAAAATGCCAGATACATATTTTAAAACTGAAAAGAAACGCTATTTAAATGATAAAATCTGGAACGTTTAAAAAAGAATAAGGACAACTGCATGTAGATAAGATCTGTGTGCGTGCTTCTGTGTCTCTCATTTCAGCGCCGTGGTGCTAAAAATAGGCAGGAGACAAACTTCTGGTTTCTGTAATAGCATATTTGTTTCACAACCATCATCCTCTTTCTGTGTGCTTTCTGCAGCAACAACAGAAGCACTGACACACACACACCTGCACACATGCATAGGCTTTGCTCGTGCATGCACGCGCACACACACACACACACACACACACACACACACACACACACACACACACACAGAAGCACGCTCACAGAGAAACAGTGACTTCCTGTTTCTAAAGTTAGTCTGCACCATAACATCCTCCTGGTTCATTTAGGCAAGAAGAAGCTGCTATTTTGGTTGAATGGCTTCACTGGCTCATTTCTTTAGCCTGAGAGTTACAGATGTCCTCCAGCAGTATTTATATCCACACTGTGGCCCTAAAATGTTCTTTGTTTATTGTTGGGCTGGTGTGAACTCTGCAGTGGTACTGGACAGAGTTAAGTTTGGAGGTCACACATCAAGTTAAATGCTAGTTACTATTTTGTATACATAAACACTGCCAGCAGAGCTTGAGGTTTATGCCTGTTTAGGTGAGCAACAAAGTAGAAAAGAGTTCAGAGACAAAATTTCAGGTCAAATATAAATATATTTCTAGTAAGATATCAACCATACCAACTTGTGCTGTGTGTAAAATCTTTGTGTATTAACGGACCCACTCACACATACAAAACCAACTTTGTGACAGCTTCAGCAGCCCCCCAAATCCCCCCCCAGCCCACCACCTATCCCTCCGTCCTGTTCGCTGTCCCTCCCCCATCCTCACGTTTGGAGGAATCCACAGCTGCTGGGGACATTCTGTCCCTCTGCTTCCGAGCAGCTGGAGTATCAATCTCCTCATGTGTGCGTCCGTATGCGCGCATGCTTGTATGTGTCCATCCTATACACGCCAAGATATTAATAGCTTGCAGTTGTTTCTTTTGAGTGTACACAGCAGGTCTTTGTGTTTGCATAAGTAGGATCTGCTTGTGCAACAGTTGATGGTGCGTGTACACGCGTATCAGTGCATCAGTGTGGCCGTGTGTTGGTGCCAGTGTATTAATAGTGCCCATTTGTTTCTTTTAGAGAAACACTGGAGCTCTTTGTGCGACTTTCAGTGTAACCATGCCAGTTTATTTTTAGTGTCACCTGTCAGTAAACACTTGTGTTACTGCTTGTAATCATGCAAGTGCACACATGTTCGATGACATTGAGTTTGTGCGTTGCTGTTTCTCGACATATTAATAGCATCATGCCACTTGTTTTTATGAGTATGCAGCTTGTAAGTGTATTAATAGCATTCCCAATTGCCAACACTTGCTTCTGTATGTGTATGGCGTGTGTGTGAGTGGCTGTCAATAACTTCAGCCGCACGTATATCAGCTGCAAATGGATGTGGATAGAGAGAGAGTTTACAACAGCCGCATTGAGCCGACCGTGACGATATTGGCTAAATCTCAACATGTGAACAGAAATAGGCCGCAATTTCAAGTTTACAAAATGAATTAATGAATCCACAAAATCATACTACACATCCTTGTCAGAAATGTTTGTCAGGCCAAAGACTTTGTGGCCGATGTGTCACTATTAGATGTTTTTCTTTTGTTGCAATAAACTCTGTGAGGCACACAGCACAGCTCATTTCCTTTCCCTCCCCGAGGCTTATGAAGTAACAACTCATTATGCCACAACATAAGCCATACATTCCTACACTCAGGACAATAGCACAAGCAAATATCGGATTCCTTCATGGTCTAGTTATTTCTTTCTCTCATAGTCACCAGTGCTGTTTTGTACTAAACTCTCTTCAGCCCAAAGTTCAAAATTATAAAACTGCTCTTGATGTTGTGTCCCTGAGGCAGCACGGGAAAAACGATGGGGGGTCACCAGCTCACTGTGGAGTTGTGAGTGTCACAAGCTAGAATGCTCTTTAGTGTGATTCTCCAGCTTGATTTCTCACAAGCAAAACAGACTGACAATTGTTGAAATGGCTTCATTTTTTCTCTCCAGCGGGTTCCAAGGGGTCGTCTTTTTTGGAGGGGGAAAACTGAGCTAAATTTGGCCCAGGCTGCTGTCATAAGGCTGGCATGAGACCGAAACCCTTGCCCGAGGACACCCACAATGTGTTACTGCTAAAAGAATGCAGTCATGATCTATCAGGTGCTGCCAGTGTCGGCACAGTACATTTGCACTAATACACACCATCATTCAGGCGCACCACACACAAATTACCCACCTTAACATTGCCCTCAATTATGCAAATTAAGACATGAGCCACCATTTGACCTGATGGGACACCAGCTGACTTCCTTTACGTACTTCAAAAGGAACAGTGACTGATCATCTAATTATCGACTGATTCATGTTAGTGGTCTGTGCACCTCATCTCCACCTACAAATATCCACCCCTGCTCTGTGATCGTGCTAATACCAGATGTTACCTGGGCCTTTACACATGCACACGCACACACACAGAAATACTGACATATATATTTGTTTTTTTTACATGTAAAATTTGACGCCGGCAAGAATGATTTGACTGAGAAAACAAGTTCTTATGCCCAGTTCCTACTGTAAGTCGTCCATGTGTCTGCACTACTATGTATCACTCTCTATTATTGCACGTTAGGTTATGTAAACAGAAGGCCTTCTTTGTTTCAAATACACCCTGCAGTTTGTGAGAATAAGGTTACTGTCTTCTGGTCCTACAATCCTGTTTTTACTGCTGGTTTTGATAAAGTTACTGTGCGTTTGAACTTTGTTGATTTCCCTAACACTCTCCATCTTCTGCCCTGTGTCCCTCTCACACACACACACACACACACACACAAACACACCTGCATGATACACAAGCAGAGCGATGGTCCTGTTGCTGTGTTTTTGAGGAGCAGAGTGTATCACTAGTCAGCTGAGTTGATCTTAAATCAGGAACAGGAAATGTGATCTGGGGCTCTGGCCAGTACAGAACACTGTCCCTATTGTCAGTGCATTGCTGTGGCTCACATTGGGAAAACACTGGGGACTTTTAAAGGTTATCTGTCCTGGGAAAAGGCTGATATTCACTTTCACAACTAGCCTGCAGCACAAAGGTATACACATAATGGATACCTGATGATGCCTGATCATTAAATATGACTTTGTCTTTGTTGTGCTTCTTACTGTAAATTTAAAGGCAATCTAGAGTCAATATAGGGGTCAGTAAAAAAGCGAATCAAACATGCTTCTCTATCAGTGTTTAGTCAACTGAACCGATTAGTTGTTTAATCAATTAACTGAGAGATAAAAAATAAATTTGGAACTACTTTGGACATTCATTATTTGTCATTTTTTAAGCAATAAAATCAAACATTTTTGGACAAAATAAGAAATTTGAAGTCCTATTTCACCAAGATCTCAACATTTAACAGATGAATGTTTTACTCAGAACATTTTGATAATTCACTTTGATAAGTCACTTGAACCTTCAGCCATATGAGACCTGTTCTATGACAAAACCAAACCCAGAGGCTAAAACAACCTGTGAAGTAAAGGGGGCCGTGTGATCAAAAGTTTGAGTAAGATGACACTGATCATGTAGCATAAAGGGCTGGTCATTATGATCAAAGCCTTTATTTGTGCAGATATGCTTTTGTAAACACACAAACCATCACCCACCAACAACCATGCACACACACAGCTGGACATTTACCCATTCAAAGCAATAATGACCACTGCTGGTTATCTGAGATGATGAGAGGAAAAAATGAGGGAGTGAGGGAGAGATCTAAAAGGCAACAGAAAGGGGGTAGAGGGGTGTAGGTGGTGTCGATTCCTCTGGCACGGCCCACATGAAACTAATGTAACTGTATCCCCACAACAGCACTAAGGCTATGACCTCATCCCGTCCAGAGAGGGAACCTGGACACATGAGAACATTATTCCACGCATGGCTGCCGTGTGTGTGTGTGTTTTCATTTTCTAGGGAACGAAGGGGCTTGGGTGGGATCTAACAATCTTTACAACTTCTGTCATAATACAGCACACACACACTCAAACACAGCTGCCCACCCCACGGTCCATCAAACAACCAAACATTTGTTGCCTAGTAGTGAATGAGTCAAACTTTTCAGTGACGTTATGTAGGAAATTCTACACTAGCACTCACAATGAGACATTAATGCCATAATGACACAATTATTTGTCCTATTTATCACCTTAAAATAGTCATGTTACCTGTCAGATTAGGATACTTACCAGAGCACCTTGAGTTACAGGTAGTCAATCAGGCAGGTAATAAGGTATTTACTAACTAATACTGCAGCATCCGTCTCAGGTTCATGTCTTCATTAGGATCAAGAGTACACTGTCTCTAATTCTGGAAATTATTATGGCCATTTCTTTAATTAATTACTAAATTTTTCTTTAAATGAAAGGGGAAAACCTCTAACTGCCAATGTAAATCTCAGCCAGGTGAGCTTTCACACCTGTCGAGTTTAGACGCAAGCCAGAAGGATAATATGGATTTAACCGGGTTTATGGTGGGCGGATTCACATTTTTTTCCACAAAACAAGTTAATAAACGACACTGTTTCCGCTCAAGTACCCCAAGTAGCCTATTCCAGTATGAGCTCTGGTACACAAGAAAGCCGTAAAGTAACAGTCAAGATCATTTTTGAAAAAGGTTACAGTATATATTAAGTACCTCACAGTGCGCGTTAGCAATTTAATAAACTTCGCCTACCTTTAGGGGTGAAGATCAAACGCGACGCATTTCCAGTTTCACGAGGGGCTGACAGCCAGTTGTAAGGTAGCTGTACCAAGTCAGAAAGAATAAAAGACGCATACGAACTTAGTCCAACTGTCTTTCCTGATCATATTAGGTGTTGTCTGACTGATCTGGTCGTCGTTGTGTCAGTTAGCTGGCTGCTCTTTTGTACTAAAATCAGAAACGCTGGCTCCACCCGTCAGCACGCGCGGCTGTCAAAGCTGTAGCCTAAGTTGTAACTTCACATACAGAAAGCAAGGCTCAGCGCCTCAAAATGTTTCGGCAACTTAATTAGCTTACGTAAGAGAAAGACTGTCCGCCGTCACCGAAATCTGCTCTTCACTTATCTGCCTCCCCAACGAGTCTGTCTGTCGGTGGTGAAACTGCTGATAAAACCTGCTGCGAGTCTCACTTCCATCCGTGTGCGCGCTGCTGGTGTGAGGGCTCCATCTGCTGAACTCCGCCGGGTAAGGATGCCCTGTGTGTGTGTGTGTGTGTGTGTGTGTGTGTGTGTGTGTGTGTGTGTGTGTGTGTGTGTGTGTGGGGCCTATTGTTGCGTACCTATCCAACAGTGGAGCTCGGCTCCCTTCCCCCAAACAGTGGACCCAGCGAGCCAACAGGTCAACTTTTGGAGGTACCCTCTGATGAATGTATTTGAATTATAGCCAAAGAGGGGACCTGCAGGTGTGAGTGTTAAAAGCCATATTCAGCACTGCCCCTGCAGGCGGGTGCAGGGACTTTGTAAACAATGCATCGTTTTTTTCACACTCCTCCATAGTGTGAATGGCTTGCAGGCCTAGACACATTTCTAACAGGCTACATACTGAAGGAACCGGTCTCCTGAAACATGCTCTGATATTATTTTTGTGTAACAAAATGCAAAAGCTCAGCTTTAGTGGATGTCCTAACTAATTTCAAGTGTGACACACTGTATTAAAATGAAGGACTAAATAGGCATAAAAAATGATTTTAAAAGAAAAAGGAAATGAATTGGCCTGCAGCAAGATCATTTCTTTTCATTTAAATTAATCACTCAAAACAGACTTTTACTAGACCTTTAAAATTAGTCAGTCTCTAAAGGAGCATAGGGTTTCAATCCATTTTAAAATGTATTTGTATCCTTGGGTATGCAATGTGTTTGTTGAGGCACGTAGCAGGGGGAAAAAGGTCCACACTCTCCTTGTCCCCAGTTTGCTGGTACATAATGTTCCCTAGCATGGAGCGATATTCACACTCCAGCTTGAATTATTAAAAAAGAAATAAGCAAAATGAAAAATCCTTATGAGGAAATGTATTATTCTAGTTTTGCTGTCATTACAATTAAGTATTCAAGAACAGAACAAGTTATAGCCTCTAACAGAATAATCCTTTACTCACATGTACATTTATTTGACCATCAAATTTGATCTTCTTTGTGCAGGATAGTGCTGAAGAGCCCTCACAACTTGTAAGAGCATGTAAAAAGTCTTTTACACTGTAAGCTGTAGCTTTATTCAATTCTTGATATTCCGCTAACTGAACATGAAGCTTGTTTTGTGCCAGTGTGTTTATTCTGTACTTCTTTATCTTCCTTGTTCCTTTTCCCACCTGATTTTAGTTTATTTTATTATTTTATTTTGGAATCTGACCACCTTGTGAAGCCACCTCTGTGGACAATAAAGTTTTAAAATGATCTGGAATGCATACACACACACACACACACACACACACACACACACACACACACGCAACAACAACAAATTGACCCTTAATTTACACAGTGATGCCCATTCTCACATGTCCTCTCCCAAACTGAACTCTCACTGTCTCTCACAGTTTCCTCATCCAGCTTGTGGCGAATCCAGCCTCTGCCAAAAAAAAGTACATCATTGGATTTATGAAGTTAAGCCAATCAGGGACAAACCAACTAGTAAAAGATGATGAGTCAATAAGTTTGCTGTTGTTCAGTTAAATTGTGTACCTAAGGGGGAAATTATGGCATTAAAAACTTGCTATCAACAACACTAAAGTCTAGTTTCAACAACAGTAAGTCTTTTCCCATGTGCTCTTGGCAGGGCTTTAACAGTCCATCCCCCAGTCACGGGGTTGACTGTGGCCTGAATAATTTGAGATACGTGCAAGCAATTTGAATTTCATAGCAGATCTTCCATTTTGAACAGCACTTGCTTGAGACAGAGCTTCTTCTCTTGGCAGATTTAGATAGTGCTTGGTAACTACTTTAGTTACATTTCCAAAGAAAGGAGCTCTTCTGTTTGAAAATCTGATTCTGTGTATGTATTCACTGTTTTATTATGGGCTTTACAAATAATGTCACGACCCATTATCTACAGGTCATTATCTATATCATCATGTCAAAATAGGTCAGCTTTGACGTTTTGGCACAACTTGTTCAAATTATATACAATCTAAAATGATACATGTAGAGCTGATAGCTGAAAGTACGTGCCAATTTTGAGAAGTACTCAAAAGTTACTCAAGAACAGCAGTTAGAGCACTTGTAAATGCTGGACTTTGATGTTAGGGATATATTTGTCACCATGCACATTTTATTATGCAAGGTAAAGTGTCTGATAGCTGATTATGAAATGGTATACGGCCTTGACTACATTTTGATCCACAGTAATTCATTCAGAAATATTTACTTTAAAATTGTAAGCTGTCGTGAAAAACAGATATTGATTTTGCATAAAATTTGAACCCATTTTTTAAAAAAGATTTAATTAACAAAAGAACACAACAGAGATTCAGTCTACAGGGCATATGCGTATAGGCCTTTGCAAAGATGAGAATAAAAAATACAAATGATCCAGTGGTATACTAAAATTTAAAACTATCTAATACAATAAGGCTACATAGTGGTCACTCAGTTTTTTATTAACTGGACTGATCAAGTTGGCACAAACATTTGTGTTTCTGTTAACGCGTCATCATCAGATGTCAATAGAGCTCTCCCTTCTTATCTTTCCCCCTCACACTATTTCTACACCGCCTCTGCCCTCATAAGGGCAGTGCCACTGCTGGGTAGCACTCGAGTGTTTGGATCTGTGTAATCAGTAAAACATCCCCATTTTACACTACAATAAGAGCACGAGCAAGATGCTGTGGAAGAGTCAACCTCAAAATCTTGTCATGCGACATCCATGTAGATGCAATTTCATACTGAATCCCCAAGAGGATTTTAAAAACAGAACAGTGAAGACGGGAAAAGACCCATATAGCACACATGGGTAGGACTCAAAGGTGGAGTTTTGTGGCCAGTAGGGCTCACTCGTCTTCCAGTCACAGGAAGCCAGTAGGAATGAGAGGAATGCAGTCAGGCAATACGGTGATGGAGGGAGCAGCAGACGCAGTGCAGATTGCCAAAATGACTGAACGAAAAGGAGGGAGTCAGGAAAAAGATAGGGAGAGTGAGAAAGTGATTAGAGAGTGCAAAAGGCAGGGCTACAAATGATTAAGATGCACAAGCAGGCAAAAGCCAACACTGGGATGCCTGCAGGGCAGCGGTGTAGACACACTCACATACCAAAACAAACGCCCAGCGGTGGCTTTTGTAGTTGCATATGGTGCGAGTGTGTAATTGCTCTCTCTCTCTGATATTGAAAGTTGATGTGGATCATGTGCATAACATTGGAGGAGTCACAGACGGAAATGCCAGTGTACATTATTGTGACCCGTGGAATGTGTGAGTTATCAGTCAAACAGATTTCCTGGTAATGGGTGGAGGCTGGGGGGGCTGCAAACAAGAATTGTATGTTTTGTACTATACAGGGGGTCATCCTACCTTGCAGACACACACGTATGCACTCGTTCAGAGAACTGACACACACAACACAGGCATACATGCAGCCTACTTTCCACCCATTTTACTCTTTCTGTTGTGGTGGCAGCCCGGCTGACGATGAGTGTCCTGGTTTTTTCTCCTTTTTATCAGTTTTTCTGCTTTTTTCCTTGGTTTCTTTTTCTCTGCCTGCCTCCCTGTGTTTTCTCCTGTGTGCTCTCTCTCTCCCTCTGCTCCTGAGCCCAGCCAACTACCTGCACCTGCATCTCATCAGCCACCTCGTCAGCCTGCCACACCTGCCAGTAATCACCTCATGACTGCCTGTATTTCAACCCCGGTTCTCCACACCAGCCTCGCTTGATCGTTGTTGCTTCATACCTGGTGCCACTTCCGTGTTCAGGCTTCCATGTTTCTTGTTTTTTCCTCATTTACCCTGTGCCTTGTTGCTGTCTTCCATAACCTTGTCTCTCTATCTGTTTCCCTCCCAGGTACACTCACCCTCGCCCTCCGTTCGGCTGGGCTCATCCACTGGCCCACTCCTCCTCGGACTTCCCTCACGGCGTCCTCCCTGTTTCCCCCGCCTCTCCTCGCTTCCTCGGCCCCTGTGTTCCCTGGTCCCCTGACTCCTTGGTTCCCCGTGCCTGTACTTCCCCGACGTCCTCCTCTCCCTCCACTCCAGTCCCTCTCACCCTTTAACTGTCTTCTAATTACTGTGTCAGTAGTTCTTTTTCAAATGTTTTAGCTTTCTTTAGCTCACTATTTTAGTTTTACTGCAGCTTTACTGTTTTGGTTGAGTCTCTCTTTTGGTTGTTCTCCTCAGCCCTGTTTCCTGCAGCAGCATACAGGTTTTGTTTGTTTTTTTTTTTTTGCCAGAAAGTTCTGATAAACCCACTTTTCACTACCTGTCCAGCACCAAACAGCAGACATACAAACCTAGCGACTAGCTGGTGAACATAATGGAGCATTTAGCAGCTAAAGAGCCAGATCCCTCACTAGTGGGTGGAGACCAAAACATATTTGTCAGTGTTGTTTACAGCTTGTTCCACTGCCTAAAAATGGCCAAAAAATAAGTTCATGCTGCTTTGAACCACCAGTTAATGTGGAATGCAAAAAAAGAGAAATTCAACTAAACTAAGACTCTACAGATTGTTACTTTCTTGTATGCATAAAAGAAAAAAGTTCCATTGCATTATGTAAAATAGTGGTTGTGGAAATGCGTCATCTTTTTTGTTTTCACACACTTTGTATAATAAAGTACTTTGCACATGTTCAGGTTGGCCCCCGCTAAGCACGAGCTAGCAGCTGTGTGGTGACTTTGAACCGAGAAGGCGCTGGAGGCTGCTCGCAGCGGTGGGTAGCCTCTAAAGCCTTTCCATTCCCAACAGCAAAGCAAAGTCAACCCACAGAGGGGATAGATAGCAGTCAGTGCTCGTCTAGTTTCTCTGGAAACTGTCTGTGATGCTGGAAAGTGTTGCTTTACGACGCCCTCACACTCCTGTGTGCGCACGTGTTGGAA